TGGTGCACAGTCATGTTGGAAGAGGAAGGGGCCAGCTCCAAACTGTTCCCACAAAGTTGGGAGCATGGAATTGTCCAAAATGTCTTGGTATGCTGAAGCATTCAGAGTTCCTTTCACTGGAACTAAGGGGCCAAGCCCAGCTCCTGAAAAACAACCCCACACCATAATCCCCCCTTCACCAAACTTTACACTTGGCACAATGCAGTCAGACAAGTACCGTTCTCCTGGCAACCGCCAAACCCAGACCCGTCCATCAGATTGCCAGATGGAGAAGCGCGATTCGTCACTCCAGAGAACGCGTCTCCACTGCTCTAGAGTCCAGTGGCGGCGTGCTTTACACCACCGCATCCGACGCTTTGCATTGCACTTGGTGATGTATGGCTTGGATGCAGCTGCTCGACCATGGAAACCCATTCCATGAAGCTCTCTGCACACTGTTCTTGAGCTAATCTGAAGGCCACATGAAGTTTGGAGGTCTGTAGTGATTGACTCTGCAGAAAGTTGGCGACCTCTTCGCACTATGCGCTTCAGCATCCGCTGACCCCGCTCCGTCAGTTTACGTGGCCTACCACTTCGTGGCTGAGTTGCTGTCGTTCCCAAACACTTCAATTTTCTTATAATACAGCTGACAGTTGACTGTGGAATATTTAGGAGCGAGGAAATTTCACGACTGGATTTGTTGCACAGGTGGCATCCTATCACAGTTCCACGCTGGAATTCACTGAGCTCCTGAGAGCGACCCATTCTTTCACAAATGTTTGTAAAAACAGTCTGCATGCCTAGGTGCTTGAATTTATACACCTGTGGCCATGGAAGTGATTGGAACACCTGATTCCAATAATTTGGATGGGTGAGCAAATACTTTTGGCAATATAGTGTAAGTTCAGAAAGAACACAGAGTTTCTAAGTAAGAGCTGCCAGTCCGTTCTGGGTCAGGCTGTTTCATTCTTTCTTTCATGAGTCAAGCCTGCTGACCGTAGATGAACATCAAAACTTGGACAGACCAAAGCAATGAGAGCTTCACCCTTTTGTTCATCTCTTCCAGCAAAGCAAGATTCAATATATTTAAATTTAAAATATTAATTGCAAAGGGAATTTAAATGTTGTTTAAACTAATTTGATGTGGTTGTTTTTTTTCAACAAGCTGTTTATGTTGATAGTTTGGCTAAAACAATGATTAATGTGATTAATCAGTTATTGAAATAATCATCACTAATTTACTAACGAATTAATCATTAACTCAAGACTCAAAAACATGTCTTAAACTGATAGAGCAACCCACTTAGAGCATTCATTATATCAAATGATGTAAAAGAAATATGTAAAGATTTTGCATTTAAGATGAAAAAAAAACATGTTTTCATCTGTAAATAGGCTCTATCCAAAACTCCTCAAGTGGAAACGTTTTAGTTTCACCTGGTTTACTTTCGAAAAAAGTCCTCTTTAGGGAATTTTTTGCAATCCGATTATTAATCTATTTATCGAAAAATATAAGCTACATAATAATCGTTTTGCAAAATAATAATTAGTTTTTGACCTAGTTGATAGCTGTAGGCAAAAATGATCTGCTGTAGAGGTCTGTCTTAAAACGGCTCTCAAGAAGCCTCTGACTGCAGACAATCTAAAAAGTATGCCCATGGTTGTCTGTGATGTTCTTTATTTTATGAAGAATTCTTCTCATAAAATCCTCTCCAGAGGTTCTACATGAGTTCCTAGAACCAAGCCTGACTTCTTTATTAGCTTATTGCACATTTGTCAGGGTTTGCTTTGATACTGTTACCCCAGAGGATAATGGCAGGAGAGATCACACTCTTCACACACAAACAAACAAACAGAAGATCAGCAGAATCTTCCTGCAAACACTGAAAGACCAAAGCTTCTGTAGAAGTACAGTCTGCTCTGTGACTTTTATCCAGGACTTTAACTTCATCTCCCATGATGAAAATAGTGTTTGACTACATAATTGAATTCCTCCTACTAACTCAGACTTATCTCAAACCCAGTGGGAATATTTCATTTTCTTTTCCAACGGAACAACTGATTTTCTTTCAAAGTTCTATATTCTTCAAATTAGATGTGAGCACTTTACAATTTGCAAGCAGTGTTTATTGCATCGCCTACAAAGCAGGTTTTAAAATTAAACCAGCTGAGATCATAAACCCAGACGCAGGAAAAACAACAGCAGGAGTCATAACGACCAAACCTCTGATGTGTCTGGTTGCACCACCTTGCTCTCCTTCTAGCCAGCTGTCATCAAATAACAAAATATATGGGAGCCTGAATCTGAGGGTGGCCTCTGACTTATTTTGGCCCCAAAGGAGGGCATAATGCCACCATATCTTTGTGAACTAGATCCTTATTCTGAGTATGCAGGAACTGACTGTTTACCCCTCATTTACCAAGAAATTAGCTCACTCAGGTCCCTCAGGGTTCAATTCATTACGCATCTCCTGCTTCATAGAGAATCAGCAATTCTCTACTGGTTTTTATGTGCTTTGCTGCACATATTTCAGATTTTTGAGGGTTCAAAAATATACTTGGTGCATATTTTTCCACGTGGGCTGACCAGCGAACTTTGAGACCAGTCCTCACAGATCTTATGTTAGACATGACTTTCAAATGAAGAAAAACAATAAAAAAAAAACAGACCTTGCAGTATAAAAGCCAGCATGGAAGGAACATAGACTTTTTACAAGTAGCTTTCTGAAAACAGTCTATATCTAGACTGCACCACATTTTTGCATATTTTGGGCCTCATGATGATCTTTTAGATCTTAATGTTTTAGCTGCTGAAGATCATAGCAAACACAAAAAACATAACATAAATATTGTTCATGTAGTCGGGAAAAAACAACTTTAAAGACAAAAGATAATATAGTGTTTTGTATGTGCAATTAGATACACATGAACTCTACAAAAACCTTGAGGTTTCCTATTTTTTTAGGATATGCACTCATACATTACCAATTTTTCCTGTTTTTCTCCAGATGAAAAGATTTTTTGCCCACATATGAATCGGCACACCACTGTGAGGCGGCGACTCACTGATTATTTTGGGGGCAATTCACAACAATGAGAAGATTTTATGGTTTTACAGTCCTTCACAATATCCGTGTATGGTTTCATGATTGGGGAAAAGAAAACAGTGGTTCCTTTATCCCTTACATGACATAAAAACCTCAGACATAACAGCCTGCATCCCAACACATGAATCACTGACAGATTTCTCCAGGTTATGAGCTTGTGCTAAGTTTCAAATATATTTCTTTCTTTTGGATTTTAACATCTTGGTTTTGTCTGATAAAAGCTTCCACACATTCTATTTCTTACCCAAGGATTAAAACTTGACTTTGGTCTTAATACAACCACAGCTTTAGACTATTCCATTAGAGTTTTTATTTGATAAACCAGAAAAGTAAAAAAAATATATAATGTAGAAAAACAATTAATACATGGCTTTGAGAAAATAAATACTTGACCTTGCTGTGGACGTCCTGTGCCCATTGTAAATCATATTGCATCGTGCAGCGGGATGCTTATCCTGTCCTAACAGGAAGCCGGTAAGAGTTGATGGGAAAATTGAAGGAGCTGAATACGTGGAAATATTGAGAGAAATCGCATTAGGAGGTAGAAAAAGATTGGGCCAGAGGTTCAGCTTCCAGCAGCCCTCAACCTCCAGCAGGAGCAACAATGGAGACTGTAATACCATATCAGGAAGCTAAAAAGGTAAGAGGGTTGTGCAATGAGAAAGTGGTGGAGTGTGTGGTAGGATGGTCAGATAAAGTCAAGGGGGAGAACCAAGGCCTGGTTGACAGATTAGGAGTGCTTGTCTGCTATGATGACATTGTAAAGTGGATTTATAGAGACAACCATAAAACAGAACATGGATATATATATCTGGAAGTAAAGAAAGAACCAAGACATAATGAATGAGTGGAAAGAGACAGAAACAGGTGTGACGTTGGTTTAAATAACCATCCACAGTGCACAAGAGGTTTCAATAGCAAAACAAAATAGATAAAAATGGTTCTATTGTCTTTAGAAAAAGTTTTGACATCAAAAAGTTAAATTATAAATACTTGGTTAATAAACTAATAAATTGATAATAAATCAGATATAGAAGCAGTCAAGAAGATTGCTTTTTAAAGCAAAAATTATATGAAACAGAAACTGCTTTTCAGAAAAAATATTTTCAAAACTCCTACTTTAAGATAATCTTTAAACCAGTAAATTAACCAAGAAGAACATCAAACCCAATTCTTCTATTAACCAAGTTGAAAAACAGGAGGGATGAGCAAAAGCTGCATATTATCCTTTTATCTATTCAAACACTAAATAAACCTTTATACAAACGTACATTACAACAGTTTTAAGGGTTGAATAAGAAACACACTATCAGGTGCAAATATACAGTTTATTTCTGGGGCTACCATTTAAATAAATGGCTGCCATATTGGTTGCTTTGGTGCAGGTTTGAATTTAGATTGCAGGAGAGACACTTCTGTGTGTTATCCACAACTTGGCAAGCTCAACATCAGAGTGAATGTAATGATAATAAGTCTTCTCCTCCATCTATACCAACAATGGACAAATAATTTGTTTTTGTCTGAATGAAAAACACAAGCTGAAAAAGAGTACGTATTGTTTCATTATTATTCTGTACTTGGAAACCAGTATAGAGAGCTAGAACGATAGAACTATGTGTGATGGAATATGGATAGAAGTAAAAATCTATCAAAATTAATTAAATTTGAGGCTTTGTTTGCATAGCGAGTGTATGTTTTTTTTAAATTTAGACAGAAATATAACAGTCTGCATCAGATTTAAACAGGAATAAATCAATACACTGTGTGCCAGCAGGTAACAGAAGACTGTCCCTCTGGAGAGGTAAAGCAGATTTTAGGCACTTACTTCATTAATGACCTCCAAGGAATTAATGATTCAGTTTTGTCAAGTTATGTCATGAAAACGTTGGCAGTATGCCATACGTACAGGGTCCATCAAAGGCCAGGATTTGAGTCTGTCTGGATCTCTGATACCGAAAGATCTGAGGAAGAACAGTCTGGAGGTGGGGTTGGGGGATTAGAGGGTGGCTGCAGGCTTGGCCTCCTCAGACGCAAGAGGCTCCATCCGGGTGACAATCCTTTCTTCATGCTCCTCCGCTTGGGCTTATGTGGGCGTCTCCTTTTCTCTTTGCTTGCTGTTGGCTCAGTGAGGTCACTCAGTGTGTCTGAGGACTCATCAATGTAGGCCAAGGTTTCTCCAAAGAAATCCAGCAACTGACAGTCTGGTGAAGAAGCAGCAGAACCCTGAGGGGAGGGAGGATGTAATTCAGGTGTGTGAGGGCGGGGGCAAAAGGAAGCACTCTCAGCGAGGGATTGACTGCAGGCACTTGTAGATTCCGATCCAGATTTCTTTAAAACCATTTGGTCTTTTTCCTGTTCCGTGACTGTTTGTATAGCTCTCACACCCCAATCTTCCCTGCGGAGGGGATGGGGGAGTTGGAGACTGTGTAGCACTGAGAATGATAAGGACTCAGGTGAGCCATCTGACCTGGAGTCAAATGCAAACTCAGATCCAGAGAGGGAGTCATTCAATATGGCAGTAGTTCTGGAGTCCAGCTCTGAAGTGGATCGGGCCACGGGAAGGGAGAAGGATCGGGCTAGAACCTGATGACATGACCTTCCATGTCCCTGAACACCAACAACAGCATCCGCTCTACTTACCAGCGCTGCGTTTTGGACACCTGCCTCTCCGCTAGCCCGTGGCCTGGGCTTGGACATCGCGGCCCTCTCTATAGAGGGCGGACCTTCTAGCTGGCACAAGGAACTGGAAAGGCCCGCAAAGCGGTTTGGCAAGTGTCCGTTCTTGGAACCGCCTCGAACCCAGTATCCCAGGGTGCCGTGGGCTCCTCGGCGGATGCGACGACGTTCGCTGCGTTTCCATCGCCGTCGTTGAAGGAGAAATGGGTCGTTGAATTCCAGGGGGTTTGGGATGCGGAACTCCATGTTCTGAGTCCAGTCTGTGGCGTGGGCCCTCAACTCCTCCATCTGAAAGCAACAAAGTAAAACAAGTAAGGGGAAAGAGAGAACATGCTTAAAGTCTGCCTTGAGAAAGCTTCCTGACCTTAAAAGATCTCACCTCAGCGCGTGTCCTCTTAGACAGAACCCTCAGCCAGTTGCCTATCATTGTCAAGATGGAGGCAAAGTACGCCAGACCAAACACTATCCACAGCAACACCAGAGGCTTGAAGATCGTTCCACCTTGACCTGAACAAAGACACAGGGCTTAGGATGGTTTGATGTAAATCATTTCCAAAAAAATATATAAATATATATATATATATATATATATATATATATATATATATATATATATATATATATATATATATATATATATGCTTCTGTCCTGCTTGAAAGGGTGCAGAAGGAGCCAGTATCATCACAGTGCTATAATTTTCAGTTGTTGTATTTGGGTTCTGTATTTCTTCTCCCACTGAGCCTGGTTCTGCTGGAGGTTTATTCCTGCTAAAAGGGAGTTTTTCGTCTCCAGTGCTGCTACAAGCATTCTAGGTGTGAGGGATTGCTACTGAGTCAATGAGTGGATGCAATCAGCTGGTTTTCCTTAGACAGAAAAAGTTGAACCAATCTGACTAAATTGTCTCTGAGAAGGGCCATGATATGACATGTGTTGTGAGCTGGCGTTACATAAATTGAATTGAATTGAATAGATTATCACAACTGCTGCAGGAGGAGGCAACAGGACTTCTCTTAACATTTAAAAATGTTTTACATTTCATCCAAAAGGATTCTTAAGGATTCATAGTCAGAATAACCTCTTAAATAGAGCGATTTAGGTCATTAAGGACAAAAGTCACTGGCTCTATCCTCTATGCCGCTAAATGTTTGAGCCATAGTTGCTTGGCAATCCAAACGTATCCCTAACTATGCCATGTGAGTTGTTTAGCCACACATGTGAAGCATGAATGTGCTATAAAACGATCTGGCCAGAGAATATGTGTTAAAAGGAAGAAATCTGAGGTAATCTACTCTGTTCAGTGATGTTTTCCCATTAAAGAGGGCTTCTTTAAATCTTCTTTCTAACCAGAAATGTTGGAAATCCATATTTTACTGTTGAGAGAATTTCTCAAGTTCTCCAAATGGAAATGGCCTTGAGTCAGAGCTTTCTTTCCCATGATGGGCCATTGATTTTTGTAGCTGCTGCTTGTCTTCAAGAACCATAAGAAGTCCTGTTTTCTTCTATTAAAGCACATCATAAATATTCACTAACAAATAGTATCTTCATTTCTAAAGCTGCTTATTTTTTCTTTTAAGACTGATGCTCTGAAGGCAATGGTTGTCCTAACCTCTGAGGTTTTATTTTACATGTAACATACCAGGTTATTAGTTATTTAACATTTCCAGTGTCTGTGTAAATCATCCTTCCCTTTAACATAAAAAATGTTAATCACCATAGCAACCTGGCACAAGCAGGTCAGATATAGCAACGTAAATGTAAAGCCTGGAGTATTATTGGGAAAAAGGAAGCTGCTGCGGCATTGTTCAACAGTTATCAGAAAGCAATAATATGTTTTTTCCAGCTTGATAGGAGGATTGAAGTCTGGGCAGCATGAACACAAGCCTGCTGCTAGAGACATTGTTATAAAACATGGGGATGCAGGTTAGCACCTGGTACGTAGTCTCCAAATCCAACAGTGGTAAGGGTGATGACCACGAAATACAGCGACTCCAGAAAAGACCACTTCTCCACTTTCTGAAACACCACTGTTGGGACTGCGAGAAAGATCAAGCAGCCAATAAGGATGGAGAGAACTGCTGACATCACACGCACAGTTGTGGGCCGGATCTTACGTTTCTGCAGGAGAGGTGGCAACAAACAATGCAGATTTAATGGCATTCAATAACTAGGCATACACATTTATACAGGTTAGGCTTAAAGGTGAACATCATTAATGTTGCCTTAAAGCTCAATTCTCGCGTTAACAAAAACATGAACATTCATCGTGCCCCTCACCTGCTTCAACCGTTTGAGACCGACCCAAAAGAGGTCGGTCATGTGGGAGTAATATGGTTGAAGGTGGGATACAAAGCTGTGATGAAAGTAAGATATGTAAAGCCCGTAACTGAACGTCTGCTTTTTCAGAGTCCACGATTTTATCTTTGAAAAAGCAAAAAAGCAAAAGTGCAAAATCATAATTTGTTGGTTTTCTAATGGCGCCTACTGCTATTTCATTGGCTAAAACCAAACTCTGGTAGGCAGTTACTAGTTCTTAATTTATTTAAAAAACTAAGGAGGTGCTACTTTTTCCCTGTGGCCTTTTGTTGTGGGCAGTCTAAGGCACACCTGTGCACTATCATGGTGTCTAATCAGCATCTGGATATGGCACACCTGTGAGGTGGGATGGATTATCTCATCCAAGGAGAAGTGCTCACTATCAGAGACTTAGACTGGTTTGAGAGCAATATTTGAAGGGAATGGTGATATTGTGTAAATAGAAAAAGTTTTAGATCTTTGAGCTCATCTCATAAAAAATGGGAGCAAAACCAAAAGTGCTGCACTTATATTTTTGTTCGCCGGCAACTAAAGGAGACTGTTTATATTAAATATGTGCACCCTTTTTATAGCAGCTGGTATTTGGTGGGCACTTAGCTCTCCAACATGCCTCTTCTCATGGGTGAGTTGTGTTTAAAAGTCAATCTGAAAATCCCTAGGAACAAAAATCCTCGACATTAACCCTTAAAATATAGTAGTTGAATATCAAAAAGGCAGGCAATTCTTTATTTTAAATGCTCCCAACAGAAAACTGCTAGCAAACCACATAAAATCTAAATGTTCTATTGACATATCTCATACACATTTTTTCATGCATTAGGTGGTAATGAGCAGTTTTCATGAGCAGTGGCTTCAGCTTTCAAATGCCAAAGCTAATAAATACATCATCATTGAGGTAATGCAGCAATTTATCCTGAATTACAGTCATGGAGTTGCTTTGCACATCAGATTTTTTTTCCTGTTAGTATATAATTTTTCCAAGATATGCTGCTTCAGACTAAAACTCTTCACAGTATTGCCAGTTTTATATACCCTTAATATAAATCCTATGCTGATAAAAGTCCTGGTGTTGTTTTCTCCTCAAACATGAGACTAAAACTGATGGTGGAGGAGCAGAAACTTCTTTTAATTAGAAATATAAATCAGAAAAATTATGATGCGGACACGATAGCCGTAGTGGTATTGTTGTACCATTGGGAAAGCAATAAAAAAAGAGTTGGTGAAAATATGTCTATCCAGTGGATATTTAGATATTCCAGATGTGCTTTGATCACCTCATTCTAATATCCAGGCAGGTCCTGAAGATAATGGAGTGGATCCTAATTTGGAGAAAAGCAGTGCTTGAATTGTTGTATAGTTTATAAAAAAATATTTTTACAGCAATGGTAGTTTTTGCAGCCTCTTCTTGTCTGTACTTATTATTGATTCTCTGACTGCAGAGATTCAGCTTCTTATTTCCATTAAGAAACAGTCACTAGACACTATGCATTCTTAGATTCAAGTTTTAAATGTTGTGCAGGACAGACCATTCTTACCAAAAAGAGCTTCTCAATCTTGGCCACAGCTCTCCGCAGCACCGTGCCCATATGATCACCCACTCCAGCAAGCAGGAAGCCAAACATGGGGATGCCCACCAGGGCATAACATACACAGAACAACTGTCCAAACCATGTCCGAGGTGACAGATTCCCAAAGCCTGGGAACAAAAATCAAAGGGCAATCTCTACAAATGTAATATTAATAAACTTCTGAGGGTTATATTTTAATGTGATTAAAAATAATCACACTGAGAATATATATCTCAAATACATTAGTCATATTATCAGTCCAGATAATCAGATGGATGTTTTCTGTTACTATTTACCTATTGTGGTGATGATGGTACCACAGAAGAAGAAAGCAGAGCCCATATCCCAGTGGGTGGTCAGGTTGGGAGAGAGGCTGCTTATATCCAGACCTGCCTCAATAGCAGATACTAGTTTCTGCAAGTGTGACATATAGCTGTCATGTAAACGATCAGTTAAATCAAAATTAAAAATTTTCACAGTTTGGATTCATCTTCTTATCATACATGAAAGTTTCATGAATTATACCGTTTTTCTGGTTTAAATTAAACATTATATATAAAAGTAAGTGCACTGTGAAATAAAACCCTTTTCCCCCAAACAGCAAATTTATTCAATTTTTTTATTTAACCCTTATTTAACCGGGAAAGCCCAGCTTAAAATAAAAATAGATTTTCCTAGGTCAGAAGCGACAAATTTTACACCACAATGATAATTAACAATACACAATTGAGATACAATTAGAAAAAATAAACCCATGACATTATAAAGAGGATATCTCAAGTGCTAGCAGTCTAGTAATAAACATGTTCAGTATAATTAATTCACTTAATTTCCAGTCTTTTAGCAGAATGCTTCATGCAGATGGAGCAGAGTAAATAAAAGTCCTTTTTCTGCAGTTCTGTGGAGCTAAATGGAACAAAGAGCAGCAAGTAATAATTGTAAAGCAAAGAAGAAACGTCAGTATTACATATATATAGGAAAGAAGCAGACTGATAATAGCCTTATAAAAATTGCACCACTGTCAGAGCCTCCTGTTAGACAAAGGTCCCACATGAGAACACGGCTCACAATGATGGATCATGAAAGGTTATGGGTCAAAACTCAGTAGTTTTAGCAACCATTTAGTAAAAAAAAAAAAATCTTGTGTTATCAAATGAAAAGTCATGCCCAAATATTATTTTTGTATAAAGAGATCAGGAGATTGCAGCCAGAACTCAATGTTTAGTTCAGAAGAAAACACGTCTATCTTCCAATAATATGGAGAACGCATGAGACTGTTCTCACATTTACAGCTCAGCCAGTGCATGATAGTGACTTTTCTGAAAGCCACTGCTTCAGCTAAACAAGGCAAAGGTCAAGGAAATCCTACACTGAAAGAAATCGGGGGAGCTATTTACTTAGAAAAAAGCTAGGTAACTTTTCCACATAAAAATACATTGTAAATTTCACTCACTAAAATCTAAGTTGATTTATTACTAAGAGGAGCTGATTGAACAAACTTCAGCAAATTTTACTAATTTGTATTTCTCTGCTATTAACCTTTACACAGAGAGGCACTGAGACATACAACCATGCACACGCAGGGAGAATCTAGAGAGTCGTGTTATTGGACTGTGGGAGGAAGCCAGAGTAAATCTACTTATGCACAGGGAGAGCATGCAAACTCCATGCAGAGAGACCCTGCCCCAGGGATCAAACTCAGAACCTTCTTGCTGCTTGGCAACGGTGCAACAAACTTTGTCACCAAGCAGTTCGATAAGTAAACAATTCTTTCTATTTTTGACCTAAACATGGTCAGACAAAGTAAAAAGCATCAAGTTTACTCCTAATATCCAAGCACGTATTACTTGGCATGGGAGCTGCCTTGGAGCTCGTCTGCCTGGCTGTGTGTTTCCTGGACAGGGCCGCCTTTTACAGCTGCTTTTTGTATCTCTGCTTCTGTCTCCTTGAACCCCAGTCGGCCTCGGCAGATGGCCGCTCACACTGAGCCTGGTTCTGCTGGAGGTTTCTTCCTGTTAAAAGGGAGTTTTTCCTCTCCACTGTCGCTACAAGCATGCTTAGTGTGGGGGATTGTATTTGAGTCAATGAGTCAATGCAATCAACTGGTTTTCCTTAGATAGAAAACTTTGTATCAATTTGACTGTATGATCTGGTTGAACTGTAAAGTGCCTTGAGATGACATGTGTTGTGAATTTGGCGCTATATAAATAAACTGAATTGAATTGAACTTGCGTCTGTTAAGTTGCAAAGTTGTTTAAATGGTTTTGTTAATACTATTTAGCAAGATTAAATAATTAAATGTACTTTTTTTTTTATTGATATAGATTTAAAAATTATTTCTGAGTAACACATTAAATAAGATGTGTCATTTCGAAGAAAAGGCACTTTATATGGCAACTTGCAGTAAATTCTACATAAAAACCAAGGTCATATTTACAGGAGCAAAAAGTAATTTTTGTCAGTTTACAAGAACAGGTCAACCATATGTTACTTTAATTACATTAAATACATTTAATATTAGTTAATTACCCAAGAAGACTAAATACGGATATTAATTTAAAGGTACATTAAACCAAAAAGGGAATATGAATATATATATATATATATATATATATATATATATATATATTTATTTTTTTTATTTTTATTTTTTTTAAGCTTGTGATCAAGTGTATATATGGTTAGTCACATAATAAAGGTAAAGTTAAATAAAAAAAGGGAATTTTTAAATAATTTTTTTTTTTACCAGGTTTGTGTATATTATTGAGACATAATTGTAAAAAACGATAGATTTTATATTTCAATATACAGTCTCTGTTCTTGTGTGCCCATCTGTGTTCTGCTCTTGTTCTGTGTTTCATAAAAGAGGTGATGGAGTCACCGTAGCAACCAGGCAATAACTCTTCTTCTGTCAAATAAAGATTATTAGAGGCAATAACACTTAAAAATGGAAAGGGACCAAAGGGGATCACTGGGTATTGGGTCACTGGGTGTCGCACAGAGAAGAGACGACTGATGTTTTTCTGCCTTGACGTCACACTGCCCAATTGCATTAATGATAGTAATGAAAATATTTCTTCTTATTTTACTAAACAGTTTCAGTTTCTTATTTTCAGTGTTATCCCGAGTTTCTGGATGATTCCATTTCCTTAAAGCTGGAACATGTGACTTTCCCCACTGTGGGACAATAAAGGCTATTTCTACTCTATTCTCTGAGAAGCTTCAGTTTCCAACATTCCCCGTTGAGTTTTTATGGCTAAGTTAACATGAGCACACATTCTTTTCGGGGGTTTCCTTTGTAATTGTGCAATAATTAGCACTCTTTCTTTAAAGGATGAAGTAAACATGTAATTTGAAGGGTGTGAATTTAAATATTTTTATTCAGTTTTTGTAAGATGCTATGTAATTAACACAGAGAGGCAGAAGCAACTGAAAACCAATCTAGGATTTTTTTTTTAATCATTTTTAAACATTTTAACTACCGTATTCCTCAGTGAGAACAATGAAAACTTTCTAACATTACATCTCCTTTTTACAAGTCTAGGGGTAATCAATGGGGCTGGTTTTGGGCTATGTTTGTGCATCTATTGTCATCCAAGAGCTATTTCATAGTCTGAATAACCTGCAGTCTATTTCAGCAGCTTGGCCCAAACTGTAAATCTTTGACTAAAGGTGTGGAAAACTGTTTAAAGAGCACCATTAAAAGATGCACATAAAATCTCAACTAGGAGGTTTGTCTGTGGTTAGGCTGTTTGCACTCAATGACAAAACAGAAGATCAGATAAATAGGAATATGATAATGACCACAAAGAAAGCTATTTAATACAGAAATGGTGCACTAATGCAATACTACCCTACAGGTTTTAAAAAAATGTAATGAAAGTGTTTAAGGCCCTTGGCTAAATAGACAAAAAAACAAAAAACGTGTGGGAATAGTACGAGAGTAAAGTCACGCTTTATAATTTTACCTATAGGACATTTAAAAGCTGCTTTCAATGAATATATCACAGAGATTCAGGGCCTTTGAGAAGAATTCATTCATTCTCTTGGCTTTTCACAATCAGCCAAGTTACAAGAAAATGTCCCTGTAGTTCAAAAAATAATAATAATGACTGCATGTGACTGGCCAGTGGAAAGTACCGCATTGCTTTAGTGATAAGAAAAGGATGCAATAATTTCATATTCATCTTTTAATCTGAAACCATAAATACAATAGTTGCCTTTAGAGGTCTCATATTTAGAAAGCCCCTCTGTGTGCAGCCTAATGTATAAATCCAGCTGTTTCCTAAAGGCTTTTGAAGAGATTATTAGTGCACCAACAGCATCATGTGCTAGATGGGTGGTTGCCCAGAGCAGCATTAGAAAGGGGGCATTAGCATTAGAAAGGCCCCTAAACATAGGAGTTTCCCTTTACACACATTTTTTGTTGCTTCTTTGTGCTGTGCTATACTTGGTTGTTGCTTAAAAAAGCTAAATAGTTAATTGTCTTTCTTTGGGATTGCAGAGCGCTGCAACGCCAAAGGATCTAAGATAATTGCTTTCATTCTACCGGATGGAGCAGCTCTTCCAGGAGGCCATAAACAGAAGAACCATCATAGGTGGACGCTACAAACACAGCAGAAAGGTAAGGGGGAACTGTTGGAAGCTCAGAGCAACCTCCTCGTGGAGAATAGTTCAGTTCATCACCTGTAGGGGGCATGGACGAAATTTTCATTACAACATGCTTGACCAACAATCACGCAAGACAGTGGGCCAATCAGGAGCGTGTGGGTGGGCTAAACTCGGGGAAGCTGGCTTTAGCTTGAGTTACGGTTTTCAGCTTGTCTGCGTACTGTAGAGTGACATTGTTTTTGGACAGTAAAAGTGCAGGGGACCAAAACGCACGTTTGGACAGGAGCCCCCCCGAACAATTACGTCCATGGTAGAGGGTCACCTTTTAGCTCATTAAACACTATTTAGTCAAAAGTTTGAAAGCGCCTTTGCTTTCTCTGCTTTGTCTTTATTTTTTTAAGTTGCTTTGGGAACTCCTTATAGATGGTTGCAAAACCCCTTCAGGTGACTACCTATGAGGCTCAATGGAATAAAAACCGTGTTTGATAGGATACTCCATCAATCTTGCCCTTTTTGAAAGAATGGTTCAGAAGAAGTCAACTTTGATAGAAAAAGAAATAAAAAATCTTATTTGCAAACAACCCATGTAGAACATGTGGAAAAAGGCTGCCCTGGTCAGATGGGACAAAAAGCAAACTCCTCTGTGGAGTGGACCACAGACACTGCACAAACTACAACCACAGTGAAACATGGCGGTGGCAGCATCATGCTGTGAGAGCACTTAGAAAATATTCTAAGATATCTGTGACTGCGAAAGGACAAAACATCTCTAGACAGACAGATATATAGAGAAATGCCCCATAAGATATAATGTATGTAACCAACGTCTGACCTAGAGGGTCTGTGTCTAAATGGACATGACTTCTCAATGTTTTAAATATTTTTAGAACAATGTATATTTTCCTTCCCCTTTAGGATTATTATATAAAACTTAAATACATTGTAGTTTGATAATGAAAAAAGTGGCCTTTTAGTGCAGTGATGAGGAGGAACCGGAAACTCAGGCTGAGCCAGAAAAGGATCTTTGCTCTGAGTCTCTAGAGATACCTTCACAAGTTCCTGGAAGTCCACCTCAGAGATGCAGGAGTTATTTTCGAGGAAGACTTGCTTGGCTTTGAGCAGAGTTTCATGCGCCTTGCTCTCCTCTGGGGCCTCTAGGTTGACAAAAACGAGTGCTCCCATGCCCAGGTACAGCATGACCCCCGTCAGCAAGGTGATGAGGGTGGTGCATCGCATCTTCCTCCCGGTCAACACCCCCGCCCCTCCAGGGTTCGGGGTCTGGTCCGGTGTCTCAGTCAGGATGCACCAGGATGCAGCTGGCCATAAACAGGAAGTTCCTTTAGATAAGTACTGTATGTGTGAGCGAAGATATATGCAAACAAGATACGCAAGTGTTCTAAAAAGAAATATGTGTATGTCAAAGGAAAACCAGTGACCGTCACAGAGGACAAATAACTTTAAAGTCTACACATTAAAAAAGCTTTGTGATTTAGTTCATGAATTATTTGCAATTTACATTTTGCGTTTATATTAGGTTATATTTTCTAAAGAGGCAAATATGACTTTTTAATTAGAAGATTTAAAAAAGTAATTTCATTCTGTTTTTATTTAGTTTTAAAGTAATGTTTAAAAATAAAATAGTGCTTTGTTAAAGCTAGTCCAATGGGAGACTAAAGGCTAACTAGGTCTACCATTTAAGGCTTACAGAGAGACAGAGAGATATTGATGGGGATGAACAATTTCTACTTGCTTTGAAGCACAAACAGTTCTTCAAAGAGCACAGTAAGTTTCCATAAAGGATAACATTACATATATTATTTTAGACACCGGGTTCCTGGGTTGCTTTGCTGAAGGCATGTGAGATTTTATTGCACTGATTTTATAATAGAAATGTTTCATCCTTTATGCACACAGACTTAGTTTAGAAGTGCGATAATAAGCCGTGGTATTAATAAATCATTGGAATGTTCCATTTATTTATTTTGTGTTACGAGAACAGTACTGTCTCTACATATTTCCTAAGAACCAGGGCTTTCTTAATGATCTTTAAATGGTTTCTTTAAATTGGTTTCTTTGATATTTCTTTAAGCTTCTTTAAATTTTAGCTTTCCAGTTCAATTGTTTTATCAATGAAAGGTAGTATAAAGTGTTTCAGGAGCAAAATCATTGTCCCCAACACCAGGAGTATGAACTGCAGAAAAATAAATCATGTTTAATTTTTTCCAAAATAGGTGCAGAAAGTTAAATCACGGTTTAAAATTGCATTTAGATTTGCAGCAGGACAATGCTCAGAAGCACTGCAGCAAATTCACCTCTGAATGGGTTGAAAAAAACTTAAATCAAGGATCTGGGGTGAATTAGGAACTGGAATTGAATCCTTTTTTTTGGCATGACCTTCAACTGCTGGAAAAATTCTCTAACAGTGTCGGATTGAAACAATTCTCTAGATAATCAAAGTTTCTCCACTATGATGTAAAGCCACTTATCGCTGATGGTGAATGTTGCTTGGTTACCAAGTTTATGGGGAAATTACTTTTTAATATAAGGTCAGGTTGGCTTAGATTGATTTTCCCCTAATATTTGAAAAATAAAATGAACTAAATTTAGTATTTATTCAAAATAGATTTAAAAGATAGGAAAATGGAAACAAATCTATAAGGAAAAAGATACCTTTTTCATTAATTTATTAATCCTAATGTTGAAGTTTTGCATGCTACATAATGAAATACTTTAAAAAGGCAGACAGAAACTGTACCTTAACTCATAGTTGGCAAGCTCATCCCATGTTAAACTTTCAGAGATCCAGAGGGGAAGGAATATCCTTTACTGCTCCTCTCTCCTGGTAGGATCTTTAGCGGTCAGAGTATTGTGGCTTCATCTGTCCCATCCAAGCCATTTGAACGCTTGTGGATACAAGGGTACATGTTAGAATTTGGATCCACAACTATTTTTCCACCTTCTCTTCAACCTCTTTTTTAATAGATGTTTCTGTTGGAGGGAATTTATCATAAAAACTGGTGCAAAAGCGACACAATGCAGGCCACCCTGCCGGCGGCCTCTCAGATGATTAGACTCTGCCAAGCCTCCAAAGAAACATCACAGACCATAAATCAAAACCAGGTTTATCTCTTATCTTTACTTAGTTTCTTTTGCTTTCTTTTGTGTTTACGCCGAGACAGGCGTTCAAACAGGACTAGGATTTAGGAGCCTGTCGTTGTGGGTCGACCAGCCCTGCTCACCACCGCGTGGACCCTGACAGTGTTCTGAGATTTCCCAGAGCCAGGCCAACTGTTTGCATTCTGCTCTAATGGACTGCTGCCTTTGTTATATGTGGGGAGTCCTGCTCCCTGCCCCTGGCTTCAACATTGACAGATGTTTTTGGTAGTGTCACTGTCTGAATCTATGCTGGCACATTTTAATATTGTGCTAAGGCATTAGGTATGGGCGTTTGGAGAGAGGAGGTCCACAGACTGAGATGTAATCTTAAGTTAAACATCAATGCAGGTGGGGTAATAAATCAGGAGCATGGCTGTTTGGAAAGAACCGAGACATAGAAAAGGCAGAACCTGTTATAGATGAGGTATACTTGGGTTTACATTTAGACAAATCTTACTAAACTGTGGGGGACTGCATGAAGTAAGAGAAGCTTGGGGTGGTGGATTCATTATGTTATACTGCATTGGATTTGGTACAGCGTCTTCCTTCCATGGAGTAAATCCATGCCCAATCAACTTTTCAAGGTTTCACCTCATTACACAACAGATGTTCAATTAGATTTATGTTTGGACTTTTAGTGAGTCATTTCTGCTTTTTATCCTAACCCCTCCATCAAGGCACTTGCAGTAAACTTGGGAGGAAAGACCTTCTGCTTAGTCAAATTTTTCCATCATCCAACAGGTTTTCTTCCCTGTATCTAATTACATCCGTTCACCTCTAAAAGGTGTACAGCACCTCCTGCATTGTGCTGGGGAGCCTTGGTGAATTCTTTGGCAAGTAAAGATGCTCTTATTTTGAAACAAAGTTTCATAAGAATCCATTTGAAAATAAACATTTATCATATTATTGCCATTTACAAGAAATACCCCCTTTTTACAATATTTTTCTGTTTCTATAGAAACTGTTCTTACTCTGAAGGGACCTCAATAACTATCCATAAACAGCCCTAAGAAACTAACAGTAACCATATTAGGGATTTAATTGCAGTTTAATAAAATCTCAAGAGACATTTGGCTTCAGAGAGGGTTGAGACCTCTGCAAGAAAAACATCTATGATAGAAAAAAAACCCAAATAACTCCATTTACAGTATTACATAAATGCAAAGCATGAGTGAAATCCCTAAAAAACCTCAAACAGGAAGGAAACCTAAACAAAAATTTGGTGACAAAGCTGCAATAGAAACTTCAGCTAACCATGACAGACCAAGCAAACCGACTGTGGGAAAAGGTATAGCCTCTTAGGCAAGAATTTACCACAAAGACAAAAACAAACAAAACAAAGGCCTTTTAGTCATACTTTCATTTGCCTGAAAGTATTTACCAGTGAGCAAACTCTGATGTCAGGAGGAGATCACAGGTTGAAGCTCTGCAAGACTGGTTTCATGCTCTGGGAACAAATATCTTTAGAACATAAAGACAGAACTGTTTTGGGGTGCAAAAAAAAAGATAATCTTGCAGCTAATTAAAGATCATGTCATTGGAGGCATTCATGGAATGCATAAATCTGTTCTTCTGTTTTATTAAGTTGTTCAGAGTTCTGTTATATGAGCTTTTTGATAATATGTCTGCTTTAATATTTTTTAACCTTAAAGAGGTAATAAAGTTATCTGAAAGGGCTAAAAAGCTGCCCCAATGACAGAAAAAAACATTTTTCCAGGACAAAAAAAGAAAATGCTAACAATATCTCTTAAAGACAGAACCCCAGCAAGTCTTACCTTAATGATGAGAAATGTTGTTCTCCTACTTAACTTTATGCAGCTCAAAATCTTCTGAGCAATGGGCTCAGTGTGTGTGTTTTGCAGATGGATGACTGCATGTGTGTTTTCTCCTTGGAAGGTGTTCCCCCCCCCGTTCTCGTGACCCTACATCACTCGGGCAGAGGGGAGCAGATCATATGAGGAGGAGGAGGAGATGAAGCAAAGGATGAGGCGGAGTGCATGTGAAGCCTATTACAGTGCAGTGTGTGAATGTTTGATGGAGTGGCGTCACAGCAGAGGAAGAGCAAAGGGCCTGGAGTTTCCTGAGCTGGTCGTGAGACGAAGGGGTGGCGTCTCAGCTCTAAATCCATCGCTATCGGGCTTCTGTCGTTTTTAGGAAATAAAAGGAGACACTTGTTTCTTCACAACCAGAATTATGGTCCACAGTTTTTGAGGCACTTGAAGAAAGTGTGCGTTATGAAACAAAACAGGCCCCAGAAGCTGGCAAACTTTTTTCATCCACACTATTCAGCACCTTCTGACGTCTTTATGACCAAGAGGCAAAGGGATGTTGGTAATTGCGGAAACACTTATGTGATTTAACCAAGATATTCCACAAAAAAACACTTTGAGGCTTGCTTCATTGGACCAAAACACAAATTTGAACTTAATTGAAAAGAACTACCGTAAATGAGAACGAAACTGACCAATCATTAAAGCTTAGCGTTTAAAAAATAGCAGATTGACTGGTCAGACTGGAAGGTTAAAAAAAACAAACAAGCTGAGCCAAGAGAAAATGTTTTATTGTAATTTGAACACAACACAGATACAGCCACCTTAAAGTGTGCAAAGGAAGAGGATTAGATTCAGTGTTTCCCTGCTCAGTCAGACCCCCCACCTCAGCGGACTACAGATCCCAGAGAGTGAACGGTTGAGCTCAGACCGAGTCCACATGTAAATCCAGGCGACAACAGTAACATTTAAATTAAGCAGAAATACAAAACACAAAGCTTTAAAATCTAGCTTCATTTATTTCACCTCAAAAACTTTAAAAGACTAAAGCACATTAAAACAGTTCAAGTTCATTTAAAATACTATTCTAAACTACATCTTAAAAACTGTCTAAAAGCAGGTTTCAAGTTGATGAGAAGCAGCCTAATAAATTTGATCTGCATTCATGCAACTGAAGTCAAAGAAAGGATGATGTCCAGACAGGGCAGAGCAACAGGCTGCCAGTGCATCGCCCTGCAGTGTAACTATAAAGGTCATTTAGTGAGGTCTGAAATAACAATATGAAAGGTGATCCTTTTAAAAACTGCTCCACCATCATTTCGAGTACCGATTCTGTTATTTCTCACTTAAGTTAAAGTTTTATTTTTCACAGAAAATGTAACAAGTATCTCCTATGTGATAACTGTCAGGTGTAGACATTGCTTTTTACCGAACAACTCTAAACTTGGCAACTGCTTCAATCAATTAACAAATCCAAAATAGATTGCATCAAGGACATCTTGGTATTTTCTGTTCTAAACATCTATATTTTTTTTCTATCTATTTTTGGAAACCCATTGATGTTCAAATACAAAAATGTACAGCTACTTTCCATCAATACTTGTATGGTTATTGTTCTTTTTAGTTTATTCTTCAAATACCTCTTAGGCGATAACCAAAAACCACTTATTCAGTTATTTTTTTTTGTTTTCTGTTAAAACCACAAACATCTAGATTATTTATTGGTAATTTCTAACTTAGGTGTAGGCAGCATATAATTGTTAAGTGGAAGGAAAGCAATCCACCCATCTATCGTCTATATCTGTCTATCCATGCAGGGTCTTTAGCAGGTGTTGGAGGACAGGTCCTGTCTCCATCACAGGACAACAAAGACATACAGAAAAACAAAAACTTAGACATAAAGGTAATTTAGAGACCAATTAACCTGTGGAGAGAATCCATTCGTTCAATGAGGAGAATCCAGAAACACCCAGAGCTGAGATTTGAATCATCTTGCTGCTAAAATCTTTTTTTTTTTTTACAACTAAACAATAATATCCACATGCAAATTTGTATTCTCTCTCAGGTTTATTATCAGAGAAAATTTGTAAACAAACCAAAGTATGAAAAGGTGAAGCAGCTGTAAAGCGGTTTGAAGCAGAGTAAAAAAAAAAAAAGAAGAGATTAAAACAGACTATTAATGATAAACATGAAAGATTCTGGTTTAAACTTTGTAAACTGTGCAGGAGTCACAGCAAATATGTAGAAGGACGTCCTCAGATCAGATGACCTTCTGGCCCGCTGACTGAAACACCTCACCTCTGCAGATAAAATCCAAGTAAAACACCCTGATGTTTGTGGAACGTTGAAAATTAGAAAAAGTTCAGAGGGGGGAGATGGTCGCTGTTCACCTACTAGGATCAATCACTTATTATTTCCAGTGACATCATTGAGGTTTCCCTCATTAAATATGATGCTTATGTTTCTTTTTGATTTTAAGCTGCGTTCCTATTTCTGGTAAAATAAGACGTTTATCCCGAGGTTAATTTTGAACATTTGACATTTCATTCTACAGAAGACAACAGGGTCTTTGCATCCTCTGGTCTCTCCTCTTCATCACTGAGACCAATCAGTTTTATGAGTTGTTGTTTGTTTTTTTTAAGTTTTAAAAGAGACCTGTGTTTTAGTGTTTGTTAGTGTCACACTGGGAAGCCTAGCAGCTTCCCCGAGAGAAAGAGCCCAGAGTGGATCTCCATACATGGAGCGGAAAGAGGCACAGGTTACGCTGACTCATAGGCGTGTGCTCAGCCACACTTATATACAAACAGTAACATCAAGTTCAGGACACACATGTTCACAATCACAGTTAATGCTTTTTCACACACTCCTGTAAACACCCCCTTCACCAATAAAACACATTCAATTGTCCATAAATTAAACTAAAAAAACATATACATTTGAAATATGTTTTCATAACTGGCCAATCTGGCTGAAGCCTTCAGGAAAGCAGGTCCAACTTATCTTGACAGGCGCTGGTTCAGAAATACATCCAGGAGGAGCTGTTTAATTGAAGGCAAGGCAGAGGCCTTGTGACGCATGAGCTCAGTCAGAGTTAAAGAAAAACAAAACGATCCCTTAGAAAAAGTGGCTTCAGAAGCAGCAAAAAAAAAAAAAAAAAATCACTAAATCCCTATCTGACTGGATGGTTACACATGTGGATGTGGCCTAAACCAGAGTCTCTGCATGGCAATTTGGGGCTGAACAGGGGAAAATTAAAGCATTTCAGAACCATGGTGGAGACGTTCAGCGTGCCAGTGCAGGCCCGGTTACCTGCAAGCTGACGCACAGAGGCAGGAAACTTCTTTTAGTTTGTCAAACGGGTGTTGTGGGGGATGTAGGGTCTCCCTGAGGACGGCCATCTTCCATCATTCGGGTTCACAGTGAATCCTCCCAAAGGGATCAGTTCCTTCAGCTACAACAAACAGAAATAAATCTCAGTTCATCCAATATCAAATATTTATGTAGAAATACAGAGAAGATATTGTTCTGTTTATTGTGTTTATCTATGCTGAAGCATCAACTCAGTAACTTATATGACGCTACCTGCCAATCAGTTAGAAAAGCTATTTAGCATCTGACCAATCAGTGATCACAATTTGTCTCAGAGCAAAATGCCCCTGCAGGAACTGACAACTAGGCCTGTCACAATAACAAATTTTGAAGAAAGATTAATTGTCTCAAAAATTCTTGCGATAAACGATAATATTGTTTGAAGACCTTTTTACACTGATTTAATGGAAATGACGTAATAATGCATGCATTTTCCTGCCAAAGATAAACACACTTTATTTTCAACAGAACACTTAACACTGGAACTAATTAACAAAATAAAATGAGAAATAAAAATTAAATGGACTCTCAGTCTCTGTTAACTTAAAATACACTTAAATAAAAACTAACCACAAGATAAAACCACAGTCAAAATAAAAACGTATATACAAAATATCACGTTGGTGATATGTATGTTTTCTGGGGAATTCATACTGTCTATCAAATGTCTGCAACATTTTTCAAAATGCCGGCTTTTCAACACTATTAAATGGAAGCATCTCTTTATCAATTAAATGAACTACGCTGTCTGTGAGCGTGCATGTGTAGGTTGGTTGTATTGCTGCTCTTAGTTGCTACTGTTTTATGACAAATGCGACATACTGGCTAGCATAGGTTCAGCGGTTCTCCTCTGTCATTTGGTTTGAATCCGAAATACTCCCACACTGCGGCTGTTGCGCTCGGCTTTCAAACCAGTTCCATTTCGAGCTTTTTCCCCCAACATAAGATGTGGGTTTTTTCTTTTTACCTCGCTAACTCCTCACGGGTCTCTAAAGCTGCAGAAGTACAAAATGATGCGCGCTGACTACCTGATGCAATAGTCCACTCCTCCTCACTCCTCAAAAATGAGGAAGGGGAGGGGTCAGTAGATAGCACCGGAGTTAAGCCTTTTGATCCAGCGTCATCAATAGGAGAAAAACACAGGCAGAGACGATATAGCCGATAAATTAAATGACGTGGATAATTTTTATTTATCGTGCAATTAATTGATTTATTCATTATCGCAACAGGCCTACTGACAACACTGTCAGGATCATTAGAAACACATTGTATTCATGAGCAAATTAATGAAAAAAACATCAATAACATGGTTAAAGGTTACTAGTTAGGAACATTCAATTCAGATAGGTGTTACTCTGATCACTTAAAGGATGGGATAAGGTTGATTTCATTCCCCAACCCTAATAAAAGATGGATAAAGTCCTGAAGCTGACCTGCCAGCTGCTCCAGCTTCTAGATATGGGTAAGTCTGGGGTGAGGAGCAGTTTCATCTTTTGAAAAATAGGTTAAAGAAATAAGACTGAATGCAGAGAGGAAACATAAATTTAAATAGGTAAGGAATAAATATAAATGGTTTCATTCAATTTATGCTGCGTAAATTATTAAGGGTCCTCTGGCTATCTGGGTTTTTACTAATCAAACTGATATTGTTTCTGTTGTTTAAGTAGCACATTTTCCACATTCTCCCAGACTGATGGATCACTGCTTTATGTTATATGTAAAAGAAAAAAAAAACAACAAAAAAGTAATAACGGTACTGACCCCAATATAGGCCGACCCTGATTATAAGACTACCCTTCCTCTTACCAGGACCAGTTTTTAGGAACAAAATGTATTTGGTTCAAGGAAACTATTTGATATTGAAGTGGTAAGAATTTAATTGAAATAATATTGCAGTGAAAGATGTATGCAATGAAATAAAAACAAAAACAACAACAACACACTAATGACATTTAATTGAAATCTTGCAACACTTTGATAAGTTTTTTTTTTTTGCTGGTCGCATTTTTCTTGTCTTTCTGAATGTATCTTCTGACACTGCACTCTGTAACTCCGTATTTCTCTGCTGCCTGACAGGTGTTGGATGCCTCCGCTGCGTTGACCACCACTATTTTAAAATTGCCGTGATTACTCCGCCTCAAATGTCGAAAAACTTGACTGATTTTTGATCCAATCTGTTCTAAGCAGCCACTCTCCATTTGTAGCATCTTTGTCACTTTTTCCTCTGTTGTGATAAAAAAAAAATGACCCCAGCCACAGTGAGGTCACTGGCTTTACAAAATAACTAGCGCCTCTCCTGTTGCGTTCATGTAGCGACCACAGACAACTGTCAACCTGTATATAAGAAGACCCCACATTTTTACATCATTTTTAATAAAAAAAAAAAAATTGTCTTATATTCGGGCCAATACGGTACTTCTAAAGTACCCTTAAAAGCCCAAAATCAACTTTTGTTTATCTCAGTATAAAACAGATTGTCTTTGCTTGGTGCTAAAATAATATATAAAATGTTAGCAATGTTCTTTATGCTACCTGATACTCTCTTCTAGTCCGTCTCCTCGTCCTCCTGGCGTTCTTTCTCAGACAGAGGTTGGACCGTTCCTAACAAACCTCTTCTCACTATGTAAGGGCATGAAGGGCCGGAGGGGATGTCAGCAAAACCTGAAGGTTTAGGAAGAAGAAAAGGAAAAATAAGAAATAGGGAAAGATGGCTTAAGTATGGTGAATGATCGAAAAAATAATGGAAAATTTGAATGAAAAAAGATCAGGGTGGGTTTGAAAAGCTGGAATGTTTATGTTTTGTTAATAAATATTGAGAAGAAACTGTAAAAGCAGAACATTAACTGTTCAAGTGTGAAAAACTTAAATCTCTTAAACTATATTTTAAAATCAAGTTCCTCAAATTTTGGGCTGTATTTAGACCACAGCTGAAGAAGTTTTTTTGGTATCAAAAAAACAACTGTCTTCCTCTAAATCTTTGAATAAAGACATTAACCACTCTGGGGCAGTAAAGAGCACTAAAATATCACTAAGACCTTTAGGACCAAAATCCAAGAAATACATATAGTTAAATGCAATAAAATATATTGCTTAACTCTAATTAAACAGATTAAACAGAAAAATTCTAATAATTCAGAAATGCATTCATAATTCAAACATGAAAATCAAGCATTTAATGTGGCAGGACATTATAAATGTATTATTTATTTGTTTTTTATTATTTAAAGAAAAAAATAGTAATGTTCCCTACCCTTCATGACGACTTCTGGCAGGCCGTATGGCTCGTACTCTGTATCATCGAAGGCGGCTGACAGCTGCGTCCTGTTGCGACGGATCCTTTCAGCAAGTCGGGCCGGATCAGCTGGGATGGGAAAGGAGCTAGAGAGCAACATTTTGTCGCCTGTTTCGGCCTTCTCAGCTGAACAAACAGATGAAGCAGGAGGAGATTCCACAGATTTTTCCTCAGCATCTAAATCCTCCTCAGTCTGAGTGGCTGCAGAAGCTTTAGAAAGCAAACTGTTCTCAGTTTGACTCCCAACACTCACAACTTCGACTCTTACATCATTGTTATCAGAGTTAGTGGAGGTGCCTGTTTTATCCGTTCCACAGTTCAACATGGCCTCCTTTGCTCCCATGTAACAGTTTTCCACCTTGGTTGAACTTGATCCAGAGAAGCTGGGGAGATCTTTGGCTGCGTGGTTTTGGGAAATCTTCTGTGGTGACAGTTGGATGATTTCAGCATCTTTACTCAGTTTGTTTTGTTCTGGACAACTTTCTGGCTGCTGCAGGTTTATTTCCTGATTCTCTTTCTCTGATTCCTGTATAACAGTAAGAACAATGCATTAATAAATAAATAAATAAAAAAAACAATCTGTGAAACGTTTAACCTGCACTGTTTTACTCAAAGAAGAGAAGCAATTAAACAGATAAGTTGGTCAGTGTTTCCCGGAAACGATCCAGATAGAAAGACGGCTGGCATAATATGGAGCCACATAGAAATACAACTTATTACAGAGCATCAAAGATATTTGCATGCTTAATGACTCACTGAACAATAAATTAGGGATTCAGTTATATTAATCTGTACATGTTTAATTTATTATAATTATTATTATATTATTATTATTAAATATCAAATTAATATGAGAAACATATGGTTCTATTTTTTTCTCCAGAATGGACTTTATTTATCTAACTCCCATGACTCTGAAACACAAGATAATACACAGTATTGTGTAATGTACAGTTTCACACATTTAGTACATTTCTTTTAACAAATAATTAAAAACCTATAGGGATGCAAATGATTGATAAATGAACTAAAAAGGTCGACCGATCTTAGAGATCAACCAACAATAAATTGATAAGCAGCCGTTTTCTTAACAAACCAGAGGGCTAAATATTTTTTTACAATGTGCTGAATTCAGAAAATTATAATACACCATTGTATTTAATCAATTTATTGCTCAAGCTGTATTCAATTGTGACTGAATAAAATTAAATGCTCTTATTAGTAAACATCATTAAACCTAAAAAAAAAAGATAGACTGAAGCAGGAAGTGATTCTGTATAAAAAAAGATGATAAAATATGTGAAACATGGTTTCTAATGAAGGGAGATTTAATAATCATGCTTATTGCTGGCATGTCCTTTTCAATCATGTTACAAACGTTTTGTATAATGTTCTCTGTTTTTCTACCGTTTTCCAAAAAAGCCATACTTTAAAAGGCCTTTCTCAAACTGTACACTGCCTAAAAGGCTAATCTTGTTATCAACTGACGTAAAGGGCCTGGAGGATGATGTTGATGTGAAAATCTGAAATTAAATTATTCTGGGCCCGAGTAAATTAGATTTAAATGGCCAGAAAACAACTTTTGAATAAAAAAAAAAAAAAAAGAAAAAAAATCAGATCTTTACATAAAAAACCTCTTACTTTTCTGGTAACAAAGGAAAAAAGAAATTAACTGTGACTACAACATCTAGGTTACATATGTAGCATGTTAAATGTCCATACAGCACTCCATAATTGAGCAGTTATAGATGACTGGATTGAACAAAAATCAAGGGAGACCCCTACTGTGCCATTTTGGAACAGTTTGGCATGATAAAAAATAGGAAATACTATTATAAATTTAGTTACAAAAATACAAGTTTTATTTTTTCAGCACTCTTTGTTTACACACTGTAATTACACACTATATATACAAAGCTAAGAGGAAGATGGATCTTTTAAGATGCACAGGCATATCTAAATAACTGTTTGTCCAATCAGCAAGGTTCTCAGCTTTATTGGATGATCAGTGCTGTTAGAAAGATTTTATTTATACTCCGTTTGTGTTTCATGGGTTGTGTACTAATGAACTATTATGATGTATAATGTGTGATTCATCGTTTATTAACTCTTGCTAAAGATCGTTCCAGATAAAGGTCATGCGACGGGCGGGTTGTGAAACAGGCCTGAACATCCTCTATCACATGCTGGGTTGTAAAAGAGGCCTGAACATCCTCTATTACATGTTTCTTTTAAACATGTGTTCTTGGAACAATTCAATTGTAAAACAACCACATGCTTTGTTTTAACATACGTGCGAGGTTAAAAGTAAGATCATTTTGTTTCCCTTTCCCTTAGTTAAACCTCAGCTTGTGTAATAAGGGACACCCCCTGACTTCAATAAATAGCGAGGAGAAAGCTGAAGACCGGCAGAGTGGGTTGGAGATTTGTAAACTCCGCAGTCTCTTCCTACTCTCCTCGTGAGTTAACTAAATTAATTGTCTCTGTGCCTTCTTTCTTTCCCTGTATGTATGTATGTATGATGTTTAAGGTGCTTAAACCTGACAAGTGCAAATTATCAGAATTTTGCTAATGAGTTGGATTTCAGTCGATTCAGTGGCTTGTTGGCTTTCATTAGAAAAGCATAATTCGGTGCTGCTACGTGTGTTGCTGAAACCAGGCCCATCAAAACACTTGGTCTTAATTTGCTTTTCGGCTATCTGAGTGCTATTTGGCTGTGAAGCTGTGGTCAGTGGATATTAAAATCAAGTAGGTAGTCATGTTTTAGAAGTACATCTAGACATATAATAAGTTTGTGTCAGTAAGCTGACAGCTACAAGCTAATTATTGTTGCTAGAGCTCCATCCCCATTGAAAGACGGAGGGGCTAAATTCTCAACTTCCACACACAGCAGATAAGTTATGCTGCTAAACCAAGCAGCATGGATAAATAGGCGCTATTTAGTAGATAACTTAATGAGTTTATCAACTGTTTATATCAACAAACACCAGTGCATAAAGTTCATTCTGCAATTTGTTTGTAAATAATGTTGAGACTTTGCTTAAGTATTAACAGCAGACCCTCTAGTGGACGGCCATAATAATAAAGCACTGGTGGAAATTCCTTTCCTTTTGACGTTATTAATTAACTGGAACAAATTATAATCTATTAAACAATTAATGGACCATTAATAATTTGATTATTTGTGTACATCCCTTATATATGTATATCTTCAACTCTTTTTATTTCGCTTTCCCCCAAATAAAAACCAGTGTAACCAGTTGTCATCAAACCAAGCTTAAAAATGTCTTACAGAGTTTCCTAATGGTACTGCCACCTATAGTCAAAACACAGAACTGCAGCCCTCTTCTCCTTGTTCTCGTAGCTTGCACTCGCATTTAACAGGGTTATTATTATTATTTTTTTTACCTTATCTGGAGTTGCCATTGGTGCCTGAGTTGAGCTGGACGCTGGTCGCTTTTAGTATCCAAAAAATCAATTTAGAGTATAACCCTTTGATTGTTTGCTAGGTCGGATTAATACGTTTGACGGCACATTCACAGAACAGAGCGAGTTCGAAACCGAGGTAAATGCAGGAAAATAGGCTTCAGGCTTATACATACATCAGCATGAAACTACTGAGGTTTCAGTTTCCTGCTATGGAACAGAGAGCTCAGAAGTGATAAAAAGTGTATATTTTAGTCTATAGGCAAAATACATGTACATAAATGTGGTGGTGACAGGATAACGATAGATGGATGCTTATCTTCATAAAGGGCAGAGGATCAGGTTATAGTTGATGTGTAGATAAATGCAAATGGAGGAAATCAGGTAAGAATACCTGCCAGAGGCTGTGGAAGTTTAATCATTTTGGAGAGATTTGCTTTTAAAGATGAACCCCAAACATACAACGCGAGGTACAATAGAAAGATTTAGATAAACATCTATTTATGTCCTAAAAGGACCAAGTCAAAGAATAGACCATAAACAATAATCAGTGGCAAGACAAACAGTGATGCTTCAGAGATTCTTTCTGACCAATTTGACTGAGTTTGAGCTGTTTTGGGAGCAAAAATGGACAGAATTATCAGCTCTGTACGTGCAAAGCTACTGGAAACATAATAAAAGACTAAGGGCTGTGACTGCAATAGCAGGCAGCTCTATAAAGCACTTCACATATTTTATTTTTCAAGTTGAATTCAAATAATTAAGATTAGGTGCTGACACCTAACAAAATAAGGAAAAGGGGAGAGACCACTAAATCACCTGGTCAAACTTGGATGTGTTCTGTGTGTATCCCTGCGGAGCCTTTTTAGAAGAGCGGATGCTCTTTGGTTCAGGAAGGCTGCCGTTCTGAAGCCTTATGTTGAAAAAAGAGAAAAATATCAACTTAATAAGACTCAGACAACTTGTATTGTCATTTTGTATACACAGAGTTTATACAAAATGAAATTTAGTTTTTAGTGTAGGAGTGATCAAGTGTAAACAGTAAGGGAGAAAAAACAAAATAAACAACTAAAAACATAATAAACATCTAAGATATCAAAAAAAGCCTGACAGTAGACCATCACATATTTACTACAAATGTGGCAGAAGATGGTTGGTTTACCTGGAGAACAGCATGCGGCCCTGCAGTTTGTTAGAGGAGCAGCAGAGAGATAAGTCATCCTCCCTGATGATGGTGAGGACGTCCTGATTCTTCTGAACCAGGCTTTGAGCCGACTGGGAACGCCCGGAAACAGGAATCTGTGACAGATCCTCATCGTCTGTGTTGGTGAGCTGCTGCTGAACTGCAGAGGCTGGTTGGGAGGATAGCCTCCATAGAGTGAGCTCCTGGGCCTGGGTCTGGGTTTCCTCGGTCAGAGTCCTGACTCTCCTCTGTAGCACCTCCAGCTGGACAAAATGGATACGTCTTAAAATCAAGTTATTTTAACTTAGACGTCAACTTTCAGCAAACAGAACCCTCCAACTGGTTTAACATAAAACAAACATTACACTATGGATTTATTTCCTGTCCTCCTAACAGCATAATTTTTAGTCAAGTTTCCACTTTTAGAGAACAGGATTTGTTTTCTGTGGATCTTACTAAGCAACTGTATTTCCCACCTGATCCATAAGTGCAAAAATTTATTAAAAAGATAAAAATATTTTGAAGTGGCTGGATTTTTAACAGCATTCTATGCCAATCAGACGGAGAAAATACTTCAGTTAGTCTAAAAGTTAAGGGATTAGGGTTTTGTCCTGGAATATTTTCCAGCTTCTATGTTACAAAGAGCACAATAAGTCACTAAATGTTTGGTTTCAAAGAATAAAGAAGCAGTGAAATCAGTCTTTATGAGAACAAGGTGTTGACTTTACACTCAGTACCTGTTCTTGCAGATGTTTTATCTGAATATTAGACATTTCCTCAGGATTTCTTTCCTCACTCATGCTGCTCTTCTCGTGTCGTTCTAAATCCTGAGCTTCATCATCAGTCTTCTTCACATCCATTTCCAGTAACTTGTCTGGCGCTGCCTCCTTTATCACCTCCAGTACATCTTGCCCTGCCAAGCAGGATGCAGGACCTGGGTGTTCTGTCTGGTTTCGATTCTCGCCGTCAGTCTGGGATGTTTGGTCTCTGGTGTGCATGTTAGCCAAATCCTGGATTCTCTGCTGCAGCAGCTTGTTTTCCTGCCTGAGAGCGAACAGCTCTGTAAACACTTCGACTTTTTCTCCTTGTTGACTGGACGGGTCCTGCTCCACCTCGCAGACAGACCCGCATAGTCTCCCCATGTCTGGAGAGGTTTGAGGCTGTGTTCCAGAGGTTACTGCTGCACTTTCCTCTTTACTACCAACAGGTGGAGCCATTTGAGCATCACATTCATCACTGTTGGGCTGAACTTCATCAGTTTGAACTTTAAAGTCTGAAGGAGGAACAGGAGTCGGAGCCTCCTCTTGCTCTTCCAATTTCCCTGTAAACTTCTCATCTTTTTCTCCCTCTTCAGTTAACAGTGTCTGTTTCACTGCCTTGTTTTCTTGCTCCTTTAGTACACTCAGCTCTTGCTTGCATTGGATAAGTTCCTCCCCTTGCCTCAAGAGGGTGCTCTCCTTCTCCTGCAGCTCAGCCAGGAGGCCTACAATGTGCAGACTCTGCTTCTCAAAGGCAGTGGTCAGCTCCTTGGTTTGACGGGTTACCTGTGAGGGCAGAAGAGGAGTAAAGCTTTAAGTTCTGAACCTTTTATCACAAACATTATCACCACAATTCCTGGATATTCTCTCAAAAAGTGTTCATCAACTTTAAAAAGCCCTGACTTTACATATTTCCTACATTTCCAGCCTGAGTGGGACTTTAGAACTCTGTAGTAATGACTCAAATGGGAATTTCTGAGCTTCACAGAGGAAATACAGGAATAGTTTAAACCATGATTTGAAATGCAGTTAAGAATCTAACTAACAGTATCTTTAACCTTCCATTCATAATAAGATTATTTTAGAGAGTAACACAATATTTCTGTATGTTATACACAGTCATCCTCATGTACCTGAATCTGCAGGGCCTCAAATTTATCTTTGAATTTTTTAGCTCGTTCAGATTCCTTTATACACTTTTTCTGCAGGGCCTCCACCACCTGTGTCTGATCCCCTTGGTGGGCTGAAGGACACATTTTGGTCCTATCTGAGGTGTCTTGGGTTGCCTCCTCACTGAGGTGGAGAATGTGTGCACTTTCCGTGGACAGGAGGGTGTTGCGTTGGTTGGTGGTCTCACAGAAGAGGAGGTGTTCCTCTGGTGAAGAGAGGAGACTGTCGGTAGAGCAAATGGTGTTGGAGCTGAGCTCATAGTCATGTAGAGATGGCAGAGGGCTGCTGGCAGTGGAGAGTTTCCCGTCCTCTGTGGAGTCTTCTTCTCTTCTGTGCTTGAGCTCCTCAACATCAACCATGATCTCTGCTAGTTTCAGGCTCAGCTCTGTGTTTACATCTGCATCAGTGTTTATCATTTGGTTTCTCTCCTCTTCCTCTCTCTCGCGCTCCTCTCGTTCTAAGGCCAGCTGAGCTTTCACCATTGACAGCTGATTTTTCAGCTGGATGTTTAGTTCAATCAGCTCGATTTCTCTGTCGTTTTGTGTCGGCTTCTCCTCCTCTTCTTGCTTCTCTTTCTCCATGTTCTCTCTGCTTCTCTTCATCTCTGCCTCCAAAGCAGCAACGGTCCTCTTCAGCCTTTCAGTCTCAGCTTTCTCATTTTCCAGCTTTGCCTTCAGGTCTTTTTCTTTCTCATCCCTCTCAGCTGCGAGGTTAGAGTGCTTGCGACTGAGCTGTTTGAGACGGGTCTTCGCTTCCGTCTCTGCCCGACGCTGAGCTTCCAGGTCCTCCAACCGTTTCTGGAGTTCTTCACGGACATCGCGGAGATCTGAGCGCAGGAGGTCGTTCTCCCTCTTGAGGTCCACAGATGAAACTCGCTGATCGGAATCAGGACACTGTTTACTTTTAGATGAAATCAGACATTCTGCCACAGGTGAGCTTTCAACTTCTTTTGCTCTGTCAAAGTCTGCCGATGTACTGAGGGGGATATTACTTCTGTTCTCTACCTCTCTATCACCTTCTCCTCTTTGGCCTGGTTTCTGTAAACCCTCAGAGTTTGCAATGTTGAAAGTGATTTGCTCAGCATCGATTCCTTCCCCAGGTTCTCTGCCGGAAGGATACGCCACTGTAATCTCCGCCCTGCTCCCATCCCTATTCTGCTCCGACTGGGAAGCTGCGGGCCTCCTGCTTTGTGCTGTAGCTCGAGAACTCTGAGCGTACGAGGACTGGGAGGAAAACGACTGTCCAATAGCACCAAAATGGGCAGGCTGAGGAGCAGATGCTGCAGAGGCTTTTTGTTCTGGGGTATGAAAGAAACACAAACAGTTTTTATAGATTAAAACATAGTTATTCTTTATCTTTAAAACCTCAAACGTAAATGAAGATGACAGCCATGTTGAAAAAGCCACCTTGCAGCAGAATGAGAAAGTGTTTACCTGTGAACATTATTTCAGGAAGATCCTTTGTGGGCTAAACATTACAGAATTACTATAATGTGTCCAACTAAACTATTCTGAAGTTATACATTTCTTGGAGGGGGGAATACAACAAACACAGAGCCGCTCTTTAGTATTTAAATGTTTCCTACAGTAGTAACATTAAAATTCAAATATGGTCATGACTTACTGGGCTTTTATGAGATAGACCAACAGAGAGCCGTGTTACCGCAAAGTGGAAAGAAACACTTTGTGTTATTAAGGTTTTTTTATTCTTTTTTTCTGTGGTTGCTTGTTAATTTTATGCACCTTGAGTCAAAACTGTTCAAAACCATCTTTTGCTGAAGCAAAGCTGAATGTTTTTTTTTTCTTCTCCTGCTTAAATTATGGAAGCTAGAAGGTAAGTTGAATTCACTTTGATGAAGGGTTTGATCTGCTTGCTGGCCTTTTTATTTCTTTGACAGGTCCTCATGTATACTTATGATTTATTCTGTAATGCTGATACTAAAAATGACATCAATCATAATTGATTATTTTATAAAAAATGAAATGAAATGTCTGAGCTTCAATTCTGCTGTATTCCCATGTCCTCAAAATGGGCATATGCATCGGTTGATTCAACATGAGGGACCACACATCTTCACTCCAAGCTTGTTAAATCATAACCTTTGAGTGGAAAGATTACACATACAAGTTTTAGGCCCTGTTGTGTTTGTATGCCAGCAGAGCCGTGGTCTATCAGATTAGGAGCAAAGCAATGTCTTGGTATGTCAGCGGTGGGGCCATACTCTATTTTCAGATGATAGACTAAACAGTGCTTTAGGAGATGCGAGTTCTTGTTTATAGTCTGCCTACTTTAAGCTTATTCCTTTCTGTTCTTTTTTTTAAGAATGCTGTTTGTTTACTCGTGTTCTCTAACAAACCAAAGAGTTCTTGGAAGAAATACTTGATTATTGCAGAGATTAAAGAAAAAGAAAAAACCTTGATTCTGTATATCAAGCACTCACTTCTACCTATCAAATTAAATAGTGTTGGTCTATCATATGAAATCCCAGTATAAAAACACTACATTTTGTAGCTGGGAATACATTTAAAAATAATTCAGTTATTCTTGCTGCTGAACAGCCTCTCTGGATTAAGAGCTCTCTTCTTACCCTGCAGTTCTTTGAGAAGACGCAGGGTGTCAGCTTGCTCCTCCTGCAGCCTCCTCCCCTCCTCCTCCAGAGCTCGTTCTCTCTTCCTGCTTTGCTCTAGAGTCACTGCCACACCCTCAGCCTCCCGCACTGCTTCCTAAAACCAGGGTTGGAAACAAAAAAAGACAACTAAACAGGAGGATTAAATCTAGTCAATCAAACCAACTTGTGGAGTCCACAGAGCATATTAAACATTCAGCTTTAGAACCAGTGATAACTACATAGATCTACATGTTTACTGGTGTTCTGCAGATAAAAAAATGCTGTGTGGGAAGAAAGCACAAAACTAGACAGAGGCAGAATTTAACAAGTACAAAACAACCTGAACAAACAAGTTAGAGAGTAGTACAGTGTGTCATGCTGGTACACTTTGTTTGTGCTGCCTCTGCAGTTTTTAATCAGTGACAGACTTTTACCATATGGACCTACAGGAAGCTAACACACAAATTCACCTTTTTTTGCAGCTGGACTTTTGAGCCTAGAATTAGAAAATCTTACTTTTGTTTTGGCTGAAGCATTAATAAACACAAAAAGAGGCCAGAGGTTTCTAATAATTAATTCATGCTTCAGATGCCGTCCAGTGACCAGGCTGACATATGGCATGCTGTTTAAAAATGTATGCCGATCACGTTAAACTCCACACTTAAATAATGAATAACCGACCTATGCAGGTGCAGACAGACAAGACTTTGGAGCAGAGCTTTGTTCCGCTGTGTTACCGTTAGCTTGGCCTGTGTCTGGGCCTCTTTCTTCTGGCTCTCCTTCAGCTGCTCCTCGGTCCACTTCAGCTTCTGCTTCAGAGCATCCAGCTCTTTGTCCAGCGCCTGCTTCTGCAGAGACAGCTGGGTGAGAAAATAAATGAGGCGTTAGCTGGTGAAGATCAGTAGGGCACTTTAAGAACGTAGTGTTTGATTGATAAAAGGCTCTTATTTTAGTTGCTTTCATCAGGATGAGAGAAGGACAGCAAATAGTGCTAACATAAGCAGGCATATGGTGCAAGCATTCATTCCCTTTCAGCAGACAGAAACATCAGTGTATCCTATTTTGATTTTACTTGCTGGTCCAAAATAAAATGGTGAGAAACAGATGACTTTTAAATTGTCTCAGAAATAACTATCCGGTACTGCAGAGAAAAACTGTGGTGGCTGCTTTTTTTCAGGTGGAACGGAGAAGTTGGTCAGAATTCATGGGAGAAAAGATGGAACTACACATGGACCAATTCTGCAAAAAAAAAAACTGTTAGGGAATGGAAAATACTTGAGACTGGGGCACAGGTTTAGCTTGCAGCAACACAACCACTGTAGATAAGCGGCCAGGGCTACACTGGAATAGATGCAATTTAAGCTCATTTATTAGTAAGCTTGGCCTATTTAAAGTCCAGAGCTAAATCCAAATGAAAATTTGAGGAAAGAGCTAAACGTTGACTTGCAAAGATCTAAATACAATAAAGCTATTTTATGAATAAATCTAGGAAAAACTGTCCTGCAGACAGCACCAAGTCGGAGCTTTAATTGCTCAGGTTGGCTTTTTACAAATGCACACCACACTTTCTAAGCTTTAATAAGCTGCAGATTTTTAAAGCAATGGATCATCTTCCTTGCAACTCACAATTATACTCAAATTTTAGTCTGACCCAAAAAATCCCAGTAAAACATATTCAATGTTTGGGTTGTGACATAACAAAATGTGGGAGGGATTTAAGGTGAACTAATACCTCTGCAAGACACTTCTGCAGTTCTAACATGATTCTACAAAGCTGCTGGCATGTCCATGCGCAGAAACATTGTCTAATACTAGCAGGATTTCAGTACTGTACAAAAGCATTGAGCCAGACCTTCTTATAATTCTGCTTTAAGTTTAATCAGCAGTCCATCCTGCTCTCTGTAGGTATTCCTTTGGACTTAAGCAGCTTTTTCTACTCATTTGTCAGGCCTGTAAGGCTCTTTGAGTCAACACAGTGTCAACATATTATAACTAACCTAAGAAAAAGTTTTAAATCTGATCTTTAGGCATGTCTTCACTGACAGCCTGAATAAGATTCAGTTTGTCTTGCTGAAGTTACACCAGTCATTACCCCAAATAACAGTTTGAAGAAGATTTTTGCACAAATACCCTGAACTAAAGAGCTAACGAGCAAAAAGATTAGACTGTGAAGTATGATGCATTTTTCAAGACGATGCATCTGTTATTATCAGGGAGCCATTTAAGATCCTCTACAGATATGCATAAAATTTCTGATAGTTAGAACTGAATGATAAAAAACATCAAAGTTATTAAAGAACTAAAAAAATTTAGATGAACACGAAGAAAGAGCGGGAGCTCAAGAGTTCTGCACAATATTACATTCTGCATGTAAGTGATCCACTACCTACCAAACCGGTATTGTTAGTTTGTACCTGCATTAAATTATATTTGTTACTCTCTTCATCATGCTGTGTTTATGTTGTTGTTGTTAGGCTGAATATTTCAATATGTGTACCAAAGAACTAATTAACCAGGAAAAGGCATTTCAAAGCTTTACAGAACCCCATTAATAATAACCTGTCAAAGTAAACTTCTCTTAAATTTCAGTTTCTACTGGCAGTTTTCTGGAAAAAAATAAATGTACTTCCACTGAGGGAATCGGATATCAATGGGATTAAAGACATTTGACTTTTGTTTTTTAAAGGTTTTTATGCAGCCAAACAACTATCAGCCAGTTTGGTGCATAAAATGTAATTTTTATTTTTAAGAAATTCGATTTTATAACAATATTTAAGCTACTTCTTTTGGATTTTGTCAAGCTCTTAGCATGTGGCAGCAAATGTAATCTGCTCTCTATAGCAGCACTTTATTAGACTTGACTGTAGCTGGTGTGAAACAGTCACTACTGTTTAACGCTTGTGACCCAAAGATGGGTTTCACCCAATAAGAAACTTAATTTCTGGTAAAGTTAAATACCAAGTCTTTTTTAAAACAAAAACTACGAAGCTGTAAAAAAAAACCAACACATTAATAATCTCCCTCCCATTGCATCCAAACAAAATCTTAAAGGTTTTGGGTTTATTCTAGAACTTAGAAAGCAAAGCAGTCATATATTTGTTACCTTTGCTGATTTTGTTTTTCCACTGGGGACAGACCAAGGGGAGATAAGAAGAGGACGAAGCACAGTGGGAGCAGAATGTGGGAGAATGGAAACACAAAAAGCAAGAGAGTAAGGCAGAAACAGGCAAGAAGAAAGTTTGGGAGAAAAAAAAACATTTATTGACATTAGGTATAAATAATACAATTGAAAGAAGTTGGAAAGAAGACTGAATAAAGAAAGGGCAAAGGGTTGGAAAGAGTAAAAGGAAACGGCTGACAAAACAGGGCAGTTGGATGAAACAGAGTCATGCAGCTCTGCAGTTTCCACTGTTGATACAAACCTCATATTAACAAATATGGATGTGTTATTTGAGAGGATCAGCTCGTGTTGTTGATGTGTATCATTCTCTTTAATTTATGTCTGTATTCACCTTGTCAGCCTGAGCCTGCAGAGCATTGTGAAGTGTCCTGGCCTGTTGGAGCTCCTGATTGAGCTTATTCACCTCCTGCTGATGCTGTTTTTCAAGACACTGCCTCTCCTTCTGAAGCTCTGCTAAATCCTGAATCCAAAACACACAGCTGATTGTGAAACTGCACTGTGGAACAGAGAGACCTGACCAGATTCAGTTTCTCGTGTCTGACCCTCTGATGCACTTTCTCTAACTCCTTGGTGCGCTGCTGGTGCTGAAGCCGACTGCTCTCTGCATTTTGCCTCTGGCACTTCAGCTCCTCTTGAAGCTGCTTCAGTTTGTGCTCTGCTTCTAATACCTGAAAAGGAAAAGAAATCAGATCATTTAAATGTTTTTCATCAATTATGTTATAAATGAGTTACTGCATTTTAGCCAAGAGAATAATTTCTACTGTTGACGTAAAGCACCACATCCCTGAACAAAAGAAGGAGACCTCTCTTTGTAGGGTAATAAAAAAGGGATTTTCATTTATGTCATTTATTTTTACTCTGTGAGCCTAATTATTAAAAAGATTAAAGTTATTTAGATTTTAAAAGAAAACTGATATGTATAAAGATAAAAAAGGAAAACATATTTATTAACTTGTTTTCGTCATCTCTCAATTACTAGACATGCAATTGAGAGATTTAGATCAAAAGAATAAATTGCTGTAATATATAAACAGGGTATATGGGAAAAGGGCATTTTAAATAATCATGCTCAGATAAATTAATAAATAAATCTATGACTGATGTGTAGACAGTAGTAGTAATCAGGCATTAGTTTTTACCCGCTCTTTGTCCTGGATTCCCCGTGTCTGTGCCGCATTAAGCTCATCCTGCGTTTTCTGCAGGCTTAGCTCTTTGGCAGCGAGCTCCTTCTTCATTAAGCCCATTTCGCTCTGGATGGACTTCAGCTTCCCGACCTTCTCAGACAGCCGGTCCTCCAGAGCCAAGATACGACTCTGCAGTTCTGATGAAGATACTGTTGGATCGACACAAGACTAAAAACGTCATTTTAGATGTAAGAAAACAACAACTGGTCATTTTTATTATTTCTTTACCTCACTGTATTATGCATATAAACAATGTATGCATACATTAGTCCTGTCCTGGTTCAACAAACAAGGAATCATTTTGTTTAAGATATAAGCACCAAGATCATCAGCAATCGTCCACGCGAGTAGATCATTTCACTTTTTTACAAAATTAAAGACAACATTGATGCCTTTAGCTGAAAGTTAACAATATCTTAAAGAAAATGTGTCAGTGGAAGTTTGCTCACAAGTATTATTTTCCAAGTCCTAAATGGATGAGTGGAAAACAACAACTTATAACAGCTGTTTGGAAAAACTGGCCGAATGTCCAGTAGTCATTCCCATTTTCTTGAATGCTGATTTGTTGAAGATGTAACTCAAAAGCAAAGCAGAAAAAGCATCAAAAGCTCTTCATATACTGTACTGGGTGAATCCATAGAGGTTGCTTTAAAGACAAACACATGGCTGATTTTTTGAAAAAACTAGTAATAGCATTAATAATAATAATATGTTTTAACAAGGAATATTCTGCAATGTGTTAAAATTAATTAGCATAATTTTATGTAATACCCATAAAATATGCATAGTTGGATGAGACTGAATGTTAAGATCGGAAGCAAAACACAGCTGTGATACAGCATAATGCATTTTCTACAGAAAATGGGCTCGATGGAGAGGAGCAGATCATAAAACACAATAAAACCACTAATGCCCCAACAGTTGAGGGCTCAATGTCTTCTTTCACACTTAACCATCTGCTTCCTCCTCTAAACAAACACATAAAGACATTTAGGAGTTGAGACAAAGGAAGGTCTTACATCAGGATCTGAGATGTCCAGAGTGTTTGTGAATGTCTGATGAAGCTGCTTTTAGGGATAGGGAGGAATGTCTGGCTAAGGCAGAGATTTCTACACAATTTATTTATTTATGCAACATTTTTTGGTGGAGTCATGCGGACTCAGTATAAGACATACATGCCAGCTAATTTAAACAGCACCTAAAAACCTGTTTGGACAGATCTGTTTACATGAAACTCTAAATCTAATCCAAATCCAATGCATTCTGTCTGAAAGTTTAGGATTATACATGTTAACGATAAGTGGAAGAAGAAGAATTCGGTGTAATCTAATCTTTGTAGTAATCCAGGGTACTTTTTAATATTTTTTCAGGATAAATACGATAATCTGAGCTGGATGTATAAGCTAAACAGCTATGGCTGGTGAACACTCTTACTTACCGCCTGTTTCCGTCTTGTGGACCTTCTGTTCGAAACTCCGCTCCACCAGACCTTGTGCCACAACCTCAGGGCTCGGTATCTGGGGGGACGACACAGGTCGTCTCCTGGATGCAGGTCTATTGTCATCTCGTTCCCATGGAAACACAGCCGAGGGTGTGGAAAAGATATCTGACTGCTCAGATGGGTGGCGGAGCGGTGTACTGGTCTGCTGTCGAGGCAGCGAAGAAGTTCCGGTGTCTGAAAACTGGAGCCGCTGCTGAAGAGAATTTAGATTGGAAAGATGAAAGAAAACAGAAGGCATTGAGGAATAACTGAACTAATTGAGGAATTAATTTCTTTAAAGAAACAAAAAAACTTGGATTTTTTTACATTTTCAATAGCTTTTGAAAATTGAATAATTCATTCAGATTTAAGTTAGACTTGGACATCCAGATAAAATTCTTTCCCGAAAAATCAAATAGATTTCTGCTGTGAAAAAATGCACCATGAAATAAATATGAAAAGGATTTTGGCTAGGAAATAACATGCTTTTATCATTTGGTTTATTTTATTATACCAGCAGTAAATTGAAGTATTATTCACTGATAAACACAGTAAGCAGACACCTACTTATCTTAATCAATAAAACTACAGGGAGTCTCTTTATCTGCCTTTTATCTCCTTCCCTTCCTAAACTGGGAGATATATTTGCTATTTTGTAGGACTATACCACCATACATGCCATCTGGCTTTATTAATATTTGGCATGATTTTAAATTCATTGTGTGTACAATTACCATTCACTACTAAATGATTCACAACCTATGACAAAAAGTGACTTTATCTATGCAGCAGATACACTCACTGCCAATGGAGATAATGAAGCAAACCCTGTTCCGCCCTCCACCGAATCAGACAAACACTGGAACCACGGCACACAGACAGGAGTCACGGATTCTACAACTTCTCCTCGAAACGTTAGTCGGCAACCAAATCCTCTTTTCCAAGTTCATAAGTCAAATTCCCCACTGAGCCTGAACTAACCGCTTTGTCTTCCCCTCACTATACAGTTCCAGTTGAGCAGTGTTCAGAGCAACACTTCTCCCTCTGTTTTACTTCTTTGATAAAACCCGCCAAAACGTTTCCCTGGTCTCTCTGTTCTGTTTTCTGCATTTGGGTCTGAACTTTGTAACATCATGACAATGCTAACAAAAAGCACGGTAGATTGAGGACACTTCTGTGTTGATGCAATTTATAGAGCCAAGTTTTTACATACACAAAAACGCCCTATATCAAAAATAGTCCCCTTCATGAATAATGAATGTGCAAACAATCTCACAGTGTGTAAAAGCGACATACATTATCTTTTAATGATATCTCTGTACATTGAAATCTTAAATCATCTCTTTTATTCAGTGACCTAATGTTTTGTTTCTTTTAAACAATTTTAATACTGTGTAAGAAAACATCTTTTGTTTGTTCAGTCGTAATGTAATACAGCTTGAACAAAAATTGTTAAAATATGATAATGTGCTATCTATTTAATTTAACGTATGTAAAGTTCAGTTTAATGCAGGAGAAAAGTAAGATTTTTAGGAAAATGGCTGCTTATTTTAGTCCATTAATAAGATCAATCAACTTCAAATTTTTTTCTTTAACTGCATCCCTAATTCAGCTGCATCTTAAATCCCAAATCCTCCCAGAGCATAACCACAGTCAAATGAGCTAAATAGTAATTAGTCCAATAATAAATTAAAGAACTTAGTAGGAATATATAGATATATTCCTAATGTCCCTTCATCTATACATTTTTATAAAGTTTTGCCAAGAAAGCAACACAATGTCTGCTACAGATAATTTATCAGTCCTAATATCAGCTACAATCAGAGAACAGTTATAAAAGTTGAAGATACGCTTGTTTGCTGCCATGGTTGATGCTCAGATCAGAGCTAACAGGACATATTCTTCATAACAATAATTCATTCAGAATTCCAAAACATATTGCTATTTTTAAATCTTCATGAGGAGCACTGTTTGGATTTTGTAGAGCCTCTCCAGCTCATCTTGCCAAAACTCTCCTCCTTATATAAGTTATTGTGGTTCCGCGTAGCAGATGATTCTCAGTAAATAAATCAACTAACTTGACATCCCTTTATCTACATGTCACAATAATATGGATATTTAATTTTTATATATTAACAGAGCCAATGTGATAACTTTACATTTCTGAATTCTTATGTGATGTTCTGGCTGCTGCTTTGCCTGCTTTTCTTCTGAGGATCATACAAACACTGGAAACAGGCTGCATTGAATTTATCTTCTCTATCTATTGGAGCAGCTGTGACACTTTGAGATTGTCATTTTAAATATCAGACACTGCTTTTCTTTGGTTGCAACTTGCTCAAAATGGCTGTGCTAGAACCTGCTTCACAGTCAGCTGTAAGACCACAGATAACGCTATGGTACTCTGTTTGAATAGTCACAGCAGGTCAAGCTGTACTAAAGACAAACCCATCTGGACCACATGGGGGGAATAGAGCTGATTAGTACACTAAGTCTGTAATTTAAAGATGAGATTGGAAATAAAGATAAACAAAGAGGGATTGAAGTTCTGGTTGTCTGATATGAGAAGAGCCAAATCCTCCCAGTGAGACGAGCTAAGCTCCACAGGACTTCAGGATTTGAAGAAAGCTCAGTGGAAGAACAAGCTGGTACTTACTCTGATATGATGTCTCTGTCCTTCATCCCGCTGCCCCGATCTCTCTTCCTGTCTGCTCCCTGTAGGGCAAAAACAGAACATGATGGCTGAAGTTAGAGCCTAAAACATATTGACAAAGTAGAACAGGAACAGCTGCGAGTAACCAAACAGTGGAAAGATAAACACAGCAGCCCCCAGAGAGTAATGGGGTGGGAAGGCTGAAGGACTTTATTTTTAATCTCTCCTCAGCTGGGAATCTCTGTGGTTTTACTATTAAATGAATAAATCATACAGAGCATGAGTTGAAAGGAAAATGGACAGGAATCACTAAATAGAGCAAACAAAGGAGTCATAAATTTTAAGCACTGTACCATTGTGTTCCCAGGGTGAGGATGCACTCCAACAGGGTGTGGAAAACAGAGCGGTATCTGAGAGCCTGCTGCTGTTCTGCAGTTTTTCCAACTCAGCTTCCAACCTGCCACCGAGAGACGGATGGTGGTGAAACAGAAAGCAGGAAAACAGAAGAACCCACAGGGATGAAAAAAAAACAACAAAAAACAAAGGATCCTAATGAAAAATGTTCTACTGAATTAAACCACAAATTACTAAAGAGATTAACTTATTTCTGATATCATAGAGCTTCATCTGAAGGCAAAACCCGCCAGTACAGACAGTGAAATATACATTGCTTGAAACTGCTTCAAACTTTTACATTAAGTTACATTACAACCACAGATGTCACTGCATTGGCCAGCTCTACCACAAAACTAGCAATACAAGGCTGTTGAACTAAATTGCTAAGCTTGGGAATAGCAGTGATAAAAGAATCAGCTGAGGCCTGTGGTAGCTCTGGAGGAGCTGCAGAGAGCCACCGGAGGAAGGAGACTATGTTAATTAACAAGATAAGTATTAGTTCTTCACTTCACCTATCTGGCCTTTGCAGAGAGGTAAGAGGAAGAAAGTGGTTGTTAGAAGAAGTCTGGTTTCAGTCAGCTAAAAGTTACGTAGGGAACAAAGCCAACATGAGGAAAATGATCTGATCAGATGAAAGCAAAGGAGCTATTTGTCTTACATGGAAAAAGTGAAAAAAGATGCAGCTGTTATTGTTGCAAAAGGCACTTATATGACAAGTAAACATAAAAAGCGGGCCACACTTTTCGGGTTTAACAGAAAGATTTACTGTAGGAGTTAAACTTGACTTTACATGTTGACAACTCTATTTTTAATGTCAACATAAACAATATAAACATGCTAAACATTAAGGGAATATCAATGTAACCATGCAGTCCACTCAGGCTGACCTTTTGATTTCTTGGCTCAGCTGGTTGTTATGGTTACGAGCAGCATCTAGCTGCCCCTCCAAAGAGCATACTTGGGCCTGCTTTGTGTGAAGTTCCTGTGTCAAGCGCTCCTTGCTGGTCACAGCTGCCTTAGCATCTTCCCGAACACTTTGGAGCTCTCTCTGTACAAAATGCAGCTCCCCACGGACCTCCTCATACTTGGGCAAAAAAGAGGGAGAATATTCAATTGAATTCAGTTTATTTATTTAGTGCCAATTTATAACACGTCATCTCAAGCCACTTTACAGTACAACCAGATCATACAACCAAACTGATTCAAAGTTTTTTATCTAAGGAGAACCAGTTCATTGCATCGACTCATTGACTCAAATACAATCCGTCACACTAAACATGCTTGTAGCGACAGTGGAGAGGAAAAACTCCCTTTTAACAGGAAGAAACCTCCAGCAGAACCAGGCTTAATGTGAGCATGAAATACAGAAAGAAGCAGAGATAGGAAAGGCAACTGTAAAAGGCGGCCCCGTCCAGGAAACACACAGCCAGGCAGATGAGCTCCAAGCCAGCTCCCATGTCAGAGGACAAACAGAACACATCCAGCCAGTCATAGACAGAGAAACAGGACACTGGAAAACAGGCCAATCTCCAACATCTATAAACAAAGGTGTTGATGTCCTTCAATTCCTACAAAATATTCAAGTCTTTCTAAAAGAAATCAAATGTATCAAATGCAGCACTGAGATCTAACAGGACAAGTACAGATACAAGTCCATTATCTGAGGCCATTTGAGTTTCATTAGTGACTTTCACCAGAGCTGTTTCAGTGCTATGATGAGCTCTAAAGCCAGACTGAAACTCTTCAATAAGTTCATTATGGTTTAAGTGGTCAAACTACTTTATTAAGAATTTTAGATAAGAAAGGAAGATTGGATATAGGTCTATAACTGACCAAGTCATCTGGGTCAAGAGACAGTTTCCTAAGTAAAGGTTTAATTACCTTAAAAGCCTTTGGTACATATCCCTGTAACAGGGAGAGATTAATCACATCTGAAATGGAGGATGAGATCAAAGGGAATACTTACTTAGATAACCTGGTTGGAACTGGGTCTAACATAGGTACAAGTTGAAGGCTTAGATGAAGACAATAGTTTTGCTAACTCTAAAAGTTCAACTGGATCAGAGCGGTTCAGATTCTATGGCTACCTCAGATGCTACTTCACCAGCTTCATCAGAGATAAATCAATCATAGATAGAGGAGTGCTAATGATTTTATCTTTAATAAGATCAATCTTATTTATAAAGAATCCCATAAAATCATTACTGCTAAGAGCAGGTGGGATGGACGGTTCAACAGAGCTATGGCTCTGAGTGAGTTTGGCAACCGTATTAAAAAGAAAGCTAGGATTATTCTTATTCTCCTCCATTAATGAGGAGAAAAATGCTGTTCTTGCTTTACGAAGGGTCCTCTTATACAGCAGTAAACTATTATTCCAGACTAGGTAGGATTCCCGTAGGCCTGTGAAGGGGGATTTCTCTACCGTTTCCTAGCATTTTGCTTTAGAGTGCGAAGCTCTGCATTAAACCAAGGAGCCAGCTTTCTATTTTTAATAGTTTTTAAAAAAGTAACAGGAGGGAAGGGAAGATCCCCTTTTTCTGTTCAACAAACACTCATCTAATGCCGCATGCATTACTTTACTAATATGTTACAGATCAAACTGATTATTTTGCTAGGAAAATGTAAATGAGAGCTATACATAAGCACATCTGTGTTTACCTTGGCTGTTTGTTTTTCAAGGCTGGTATGAGTGTTGTCCAGCTGCAGCTGTTTCTGTTTGTTCTCTCTGGACAGTCGATCCTTAAGGACCTGCAGCTCCTTTACTTTTTGAAGGACCCTCCCCGAGAGGCCCACAGTCCAGTCCTCCTCAGCCCAGCTCATCTCTGTCCGTCTGGGCCTGACAGGATGGCAGGAGAAACGATATTATTACAAACACACCCAGGAACCCTTTGGCCTCCAAGAAAGAAATATTAACATTAGTTAGAAAACACACTTTCCGAGAAGGGTTGCCCGAAGCGTGGGACTTGGGCTATATGTGGACCTCCAAAGGGCTTTGCATGGCCCTAAACCTGAATTCAGCATTGGTGTAACAGTTGGGCATCAATTTATTTTTGTTTGTTTTTTTTAGGAGCTTTTGAAGTGTTTGTTTTTTATTTTATTCTAGTCATGTTTCCTGCTTAATGTGCTTTCCTTTTAAGAAGCATAGCACATAATCCAAAGTTTTTGAAGAAGTTTGCCCCCTTTGGTGATAAGTTAAGATGACACCAGCACTATCCTGATGCGTAGGAGAGGAGGAAAGACCTGCCGTCTGCCATTGTGACTACACAGGTCTTTTGTTCACAATACTGATAATATTTTTGATAAGTATTTTAGAAAAAACAAGCCCAACTACAGTTTTTTTTCTCCTGCCCAGGGCAGAGCTGAGTTCCCTTGAAAACTGCCCCAATACTTACCGTACTCTGATCTTATCCCATCGCCAGTCAGACTCCAACTTGGCCCTTTATGCCACACTAGAAAAATGTTATTTTCTTCCTCTTGTGTAAAGTCTATGATAACGTTTGAGGTGCACCTGTGTGGCTGGTCTTTTTTGATCTTTTTACAGTAGTTCTCTCTCTCAATGGCAGCAGAGACACAAAACGGTAGTGTAGAATAATAGAAAAATTGGGTCCGAATCACTCTCTAATGAAGTGACTAATGGAGCCTATAGAGGCAACTGCAGAAAATAAAAGCTTATGTTACATCTCAGGGAAATATAAATAAAAGATAAGTAAATAATTAACTTTTAATATCTAATTAATATTATATTTTTATTATTCAATGTATGGGAAAGAAAAAATAAATCAACTTTTAAACTTGTGCAATGCACCTTTGGCGTGAAACAAGAAATGGAACTAAAAACATCCAGATCTTTAATGAAAAATATTAATGTTATGTTTAATATTCTCAGCATTTTCAACATTAATCTTTTTCAGACTTTTTTCAAAAAATGCTGTTTTGTTTCTGCCATGTTTCTGAACCCACGTCAATCAACTCTTGTCAAGAAATATGCTTTTGAGGATGAAAATCTGAATAACAAGACGCATGAATCTTAGTCTACAATAACTTACAGATGGATTTCCTGCAAAAACCTGACGCATTTGTTTGTCTCACTAAAATATTGTGTATTTAAATTAGGGCTGCAACTAATGACTAATTTGCTAAACGATTAATCTGTTGATTATTTTCTAAATTAATCAATTAATAAATCAGATAGCAGATTTCTTTACAGATTTTAGCTAAAACTTTTCCACTTGTGGAGTTCTGAATAGATCATACTGACAAAAGGTTTAAAGGTTTTAAATACAAAAGGTTTATATATATATATATTTTTTTTTATTTTGGAATATTTACTGCTCTAAATGGGTAACTCTGTCAGCTAAAGGCATGTTTTAGAGTCTCTATAAGGGGAGTGGCAGCCTAGTGGTTAGGGCATAGACTTGGAATCCTGAGGTTCTGAGTTCGAGCCCAACTCCCACAGACTGCCACTCTGGGTCTCTGAGCAGGAACCTTAACCCCACACTGCTCCCCGGGCGCCGCACAATAGCAGCCCACTGCTCCCCAAGGTGATAGGTTAAATGCAGAGGTAAATTTCTCCAATGTGAGATCAATAAAGTTCAGTTATTATTAACTGATATACTTCAGGTAACAATTAATCGATTACTGAATTAAATGATGATTAATTCAATCATGATTTATTGTTCAGCTCTAATTCAAATTTATGCTGATATTTTTAATAACATAAATTATGAAAATATACAAGTATTTTCAATTGAAAGAAGAACAAAAAAAATCTTCTTTGAACAAAGCAAATTTGGCCCATTTGGCCAAAAGCTTGGAAACCACAATTATAGAGCTATCACAATCATCATTTGTCTGAGGAAAAAAGTTGTGATACTAAAACAAAGAGGAAGGCTGGTAAAAAATAAATCAGGTGCATATTACTCCTGTAAATCAGGGTTTGTCTTTTGTTGCTAAGGCTTCGCTTCCTCAGGGAGATACTGGTTGTCACAACTGTTCAGCTGTGACTCAATGTTTTCCTACACAAACTGCTCCAGCTGTTATGACAGATGAAAATAAATCCCCTCTGTCCTACACTTTGGCATGAACAGGAGTACTTTCACATAAAACCTTTTCTTCAAGCTTCCAGTGAATTTAGTGTACTAATCGTCTGTGCATTTAGGTAAGCAGCCCATATAGATGAAAGTAAAGAATGATGAAAGTGAGACCTGGAATGGAGAAAAGCAAGACTGATAGTCAGCGAAGTTCAGTTTTGACATGTAATCCAGCCTCAGGGCTTATTATCAACGTTATAACTGCACTCAGTTTGTGTCAAAGCTCAGTGAGCATTTATCTGCTTCTCTACACTTACGAACTGACAGAGGGCAGGCAACAAAAAAAAAGTTGAATAGTGAACAACAACAAGAATGCTAATCCTGCCCCTAATCAATTCAAAACACATAATCACACTTGCTTAACTAAGAACATGGAGCTTGTTAAAACATTATTTTAATTTTGTTTATGAATAATTAAGCTTTTGCACATTACCATCAATGCTCCATTCATGGTTAAGGTAATAAACAAAGTATGTAGCTGCATCTTAAAGCCAGAACATTTGATCTTATACTTTTGCTTTGTTCTGATTACTTTTCTTTCTCTCATCAGCTCATTGCTTCAGCTCAGAAACAGAGTAAGTCCTGAGCTTAAGTCCATTGTTGCACCTGGTGCATTGAGATCCCCACAATACTTATGCAATCAGGGACAGGGATTAGATGAGAGATCAGATATCACATTGGACGGGTTTATTACATGTTGTTGAGGTTCTAAAAAAACCAAGTGAGGTTGAAAAAGATAAACCACAGCTGCAATTATAGAGATGAAAGACTGAGGTTTTAGCATATTAGTGGTTCATTAGATTCGACAAGAAAACTCCAAAAAATGTGGTTATATTACACCTAATAAATAATATCCACCCTTCTAAGTAGGTTTAGATTTTTTAATAACAATTTAATAACAAGGCATTGATCCAGATCAAAACATCCATTAAATGATTAAGAATCAAATTACATCAATATATTATGAAAGATTCATTCCATGTTATCCTTTTTAAGCTATGCCTGAATTTTGCAATTCACAAGTTTATTGCTAACATATGATCTAAGTTACTATTTTAGTAGAATAATGCTGATTTTAAAGTAATGATGCCTTCTGTTGTTTCCAAGAGCCAATGTCACAAGTGAATTTCTCTATTGTGAGATCAATAAAGTTCTATTCTATTCTAATTAGATTATACAACAATTGATTTGCAGAGGAAATAAAAGATGGTCTAGAAGGAGTAACTTAAGGCCTGATCAGTACTAGAACCAAATCTTATCAATGTTAAATTAAAACATAAACACGCCGTGATACGGACGAAGAAGGGATGAAACAACCATCCCTAGATGCATAATTACAAAACCCACAATTTTTCATTTTAAGATGAATGTCTTTCTAACACAACTGTAGATAAAACAATAAAAAACAGTGTTTAATCCACAGAAACTGATGTAATGACTTAATAAATGTTGAACAGTGGGGGTATGAGTCCTGAGAGGATGTTGGAAGGAACTTACCAGTGAGAATAAGTTTCAGCTCTTCATAACAGTGTTAGGCAACGCTTTTTCTACTGACCTCAAATTCAGAGCTCTCTGACTGTGCTGCGTTTTTGAGCCTCACTTTTGCCCTGCTCCCCCCCTCCACAGAGCCCAGGTCTATTGTCAGTGGCCAGCTTTGAGAATGTGTGTCATTGTCTTCCTGCTGCCTTGCAACAAGAAGGTTCCCGGTTCAATTCCTGAGCCTGGGGTCTTTCTGCATGGAGTTTGCATGTTCTCCCTGAGCATGTGTGAGTTCTCTCCGGGTACTCTGGCTTCCTCCCACAGTCCAAAAACATGGACTTCTCTAAATACACCTTAGGTGTGTGTGTTATGTGTCTCTGTGTTGCCCTGTAATGGACTGGCGACCTGTCCAGGATGTGCCCGGAGACGGCTGGAGATAGGCACCAGCACCCTACGTGACCCTGCTTGGGAATAAGTGTGTAAGAAAATGGATGGATGGATGGTCATCTAAAAATAGCCCCATACATCCCTAGATTTTATATCTCACTGATAAATTGTCAAAATAAGCTTTTTTTTGCAGTTTGTAAATGAATTATGAACGATCCATTCATCTATGAATGTCAATATTAAGGTACACTTTTTCTGAAAACCGACTGACGGCTATAGGGGTTGATTTCATAAATAAATTGGAATATTATAAGCCTTCTATAGTGATAGTATATTTAAATTGAACTATTAGATGAATGCTTCAAACTTTCCCAGAATTAGTTTTAACACAGAAAGAATCAAAGATGCAAGATTAAAATGATCAGTACATATTTTCAGTACATGTTCACATGTTTTTGGTTCTATTTTAACCCCATACTGTCTATTTCACCCATAAGTAGGGAAATTTGTGTTCTGCAGGTTTCCTCAACAGGTTCATCACAATCACGTGACTAAATGACGTAACAAATGGATGGATACTATGCTGTGGACGTGACAGATTTTAAAAGTTATTAAAGCACATCATAAATAAAGGAGGCAAGCATCCAGAACCCCCAGCGGCGGCCTGAGATAACCCGGGCTGCCCAGTTACACAGCTTGAATAAAACTATAGACATCAACAAATAGAAGTTTATCTTCCTCTATAAACAGGTTCTGTAACCCATCCGCAGACTTGGCTAAAGCAAAGCGAAGAGTCGCTTTTCTATCAGTTTTTAGTTCGGTCCATCACTGGTCAACGGCTGAACCCAACAGTGATGCTAGAAGCTAACCCCGCACTGAGGCTACTCACCATTCACTTCAGAGCCTCACAAAGAGCGCGGTCATCCGGGGGGAGTCAGGCTGTGTCAGCGGTCGTACAGCTCAATATCAGCGTCCAGGAGAGTAAAGAAATAAAAAGAGACAACTTTAAAAAGGAGACAAAGACGCGGGTAGACCGTTGACAGTTTTTCTATGACGTAAAAGATGCCGCGGGATCTGTCCAACTGATAACTCAACAGAACCCAGGGCGGCACGAGGCAGGAGGGGGTTGGTGACGTAGCAGGGGAATGTTTTGGGAAAAGTCCTCGTGGCGGGTTGACTCTCGGAGGACCTCTAGCGACGAAATTGTGTCACTTGCACCTATGTCTAAGAACGAAAACAAACCTACATGTTTATCTGTTTAGTTACTTAAATATCAAACGTTATAATTTCTAGAGAACATATTCTCTATTACTGTTTTTTTAATACACGTTCTAGGGTTTCCCATATCGTTAGTTTTATTTAAACATGCTGAATAGTTATAACTGTTTAGTAAACGGATTAGTTTACTAACCAACAACAGCAAAATTTCCCACAAGTGATAAAAATGGCTGCAGTCCTATTGCTGTTTTATTCTGTCATATTCTATTATATTCTGCTTTATTCCACTCCTATGCTTCTATGAATTTTAGATGTTTTAAATAGAAATACAGATTTGAAAATGGCAGGACTTGGTTCTAATTTAAACAGTGTCATTCATTCAAATAAATTAACAAATTATTTAAAACATACATTTGGACAGAGCAACTAAATTTTAGTTTATGTACAGCAGAAAAAGGTCAAAAAGAAAAAAAAAGAGAGAGAAAAAAACGACTCCACAGATCGTCATAACAAAATAAATCATTTAAATGAATAAACACAAAATGTTTTTGTAATGTACAATAGACAACAGAGTAAGCTTCACATCCTTAAGGTCTCAAGCCTGGCCAGCCAGACTGACTTCTGTAAACACAGCATAAATATGCCCCATGTGAGACAGTCTTAAACTGCTCAAGGAATTAACTATTGATCAGTTGTTTAGCTCTCAGGTGCAATTTTATTAATAAACACAACAAATTCAGAAACCACTGCAAGATGTTAGGAAAGGTTTTAATACCCAATTTGTTGCAGCGTCCAGTATTTGAAATGTTCTGTTGGAATATAAATGTATCAGTTCTGAAGGAATACATAATACCTCACATCTGTTACATAAATACTGTGAGGTATCAGGTTAGATATTTTGAAACAAGGTTGCAGCACAATGTGTTTGAATGATATGTTTGACTAGACTTCTGGACGTCATACTTTGTGTCATTGGTTGTTGTTCAGGAGCACAGTGAAGACAGACTTTAGGAAGCAGGTAAGGTGTGTCGATGATATAAATAAAAGATTTACAACAGAATAGACCTAAGGCATGGATAAAGGAGACAAAGCAGAGAACCGAATAAATAGTAACTGCAGTGTGACAACTTAAATAGAACAGGGCATGCGCTCAGATAAAGGAGAAACACAGGTGAACAGAGTTGACTAGTTAATGATTGGTCTGCCTGAAAGACAAATTACACAGAGAGAGAAAAGTTGGCAAAACAACATTAACAAAACCTGTATCAAAACACCAAAAGAATGACTAATAGAGTTAAAAAAAAAAGAAAAATAACAACACTAAAAGTAGCAAAAATAACAGAACATGGAAATAAATAAAATGGAAGAGACAAGAAGTAAATCAGAATCACAATCTAAGCTGCAGATGCTTACATTTTGAGGCTTGAAAAATGCTGTGTATGAGTTTGCAAGCAGGTGTCTGAAAATTCCTCCTTGATGTCTTTCTTCTCTCTTAAATACATTTTAACTTTACTTGAAAAACTGAGGAATTAAAGCATCATCATTCGATATTGTACAGTTGTTGTTTTGTAATTTATTAATTTGCTCTCTATTTTCATTATAATAGAGAGCAAAAGAGACCTCCTTACATGAAATACCTTTAAACAAGACTTTGCTTAGTTTGCTTTGTAGTATCCATTGATCTAAAGCCTTCTCTAGTAAAGTTCATAAATAAAAGATCTGTCAGTATTTTTTTAGAACATATATACTGCCAACATTTTAATTAATATGAAATTCCCACCATTTTAAAATAGAACACAAACACACTGGAAAAAGCTGAAATCTAAATAAGTATTTTTTTCTTAAAATAACTGCATTTGTTCTTAAATTGATAAGGTAAGTTAGACACTTTGCCAATGGAACAACGCAATTTACATTTAAAATATGAAAAAAAAAACCAATTCCATTGTCTTAATCAACATGCATAATAATTATATTATTTTAAGAGTAAAAATAAGAATTCCATTGGAAGTCATCTTAATTACCTACTCAAATTAAGGCTAAATACACTTAATTTAAGACATTTTTACTTATTTCTAGGTCGTTTTTTTTCATTGCAGAGATCAAAATATGTTCATCCATAAAAAAAGTAAAAAAAAAAAAAAAAAGCTGTGTGTAAATAAAAATCTGAACCCCCAAATATAAAGAAATATAAGGGCTAAATCTGAGTGTCAGGAACTCTCTGTATGCAATGATAACCTCTAGAAAAAAACAAAACAAACTGAGACTATAATGGTTTCAGGAAAGATACATGAGACATTTCTTGGACTTTGAGGCAGTTGTAATGACACTTTGCAGTGTATGATTATGTCCCCACAGCAACACTTTATGAAATGTCTTTACTGAAAAAGCCCAAAGATAACAGTGAAGAATATATATCGCTGAATACATTCAAAAGCTGCACTGAGTACTATTTGCAAACTATCTCTTCTAGTGTTACATATCAGGACTGAGAGTAGAGTAGTGATTAGATTATTGCAGTCACAACAAGCAGTCATTCTTCCAGGTACTCTGTGGATTTGAATGTAATCTGGGATTTAGTGGCTCAGTGCTGAGTGGTGTGGAAACCCAGGAACCGGTCTGATGTTCCTTACACACATTGAGACAGACTGCTGAGTATATGCAGGTGATTGTTATGTCATACCACTGAGATGATATGAAAGAACAGAGTAGTAATAATGCAGAATTGCTGTTAGCCGATTCAGAAACAATCTCAGATGTTTATTTTTCAATGGTTTGCTCAAGACTTAACAGAACATTTCAACTGTCATGTCATGTCAATAGTTGAAAACAGCTTCCTAATTAATCACATATAAAAGCTTGTTTGACAATGGAAGAAGAAGGAATTAAATCAGGCATATATGAAGAAAAAAGGAAGTTTTCCTAAATAAAAAGGATCAGTTAGACATCAGCCCCGTGCTGTTATGTAAAATGGTTTCCATCAGTCACACTGACGCAACCAGCTCTCCCTGCAGGCGTGCACTCATATCCCAATAAGCTCATCTCCTCACTCTATCTTTATTAATACAGGATGACATCCAATCTCAATCCTAAACTCACACACTCTTTCCTCTGGTGAGGATCTCCACAGGCAGCTGGAGTCTCATTTGGTCCTTTTGCTCATGGAGGTCTTCTCTTCTTCTGGCTGCTGACAGAGTCTTTACCTGACAACCGAGAGAGTCCTGCCAGATAGAAACACACCACACCTTTTTACATCCTTCATACATCCAAGGTAAGACTAGTCATTCACTAAAAGAGACATGTTTTAACATTCATGTGTTTGCTGTGATTTTATTAGAGAGATACTTATTTATTGTTATTTAACATGACTTTCCAGATGTTTCCTTGGTCTGCTGTCTTCTCCCTTGAGGCCAAAGTGCCGGGTCAGCGATCCACTGAGGAGCTGGTGACCAACACTCTGATGCTGGAGCTGGGGGCCATGGTGAAGCGGACTGAGCGCATCCGTTTGGAGAGAGCTACCGAGGGCCGGCGCAGGCGCCGGAGCTCCTCCTCCACTGCAGACTACAGCTGGCTGGCATCCACCCCGACCCCTCAGCCATACCAGCTCACCCCCAATGACCTGCTGGAACTGCAGGACCTCTGTGCCAAGATCCCCCCTGCACAGTGTGGCCCTGTTATCGTCAGGTAAGAACCACTGGGAAGAGGTGGAGAGCCACTCAGGCAGGAATATATACAAAGAACTAAATAAAAACATATAAATCTAACCTTTACTTTACTATAAAACTGTTTTTTCATAAAACTCCCCAGTTCTCACATTACTAAAGATTATATTTCAGGTCTTGTAAGACTATTTTTTTTATACCTTTAACCTATTTAATAATTGTTTCTCTGCTTTGAATCAATTTTCAGACTCACTAAGATGAGTTTATCATGTAGCTCATAGTGAAATAGAGACAACATTACATGTATAATATAAAGAGGTAACCAAAGACAGGAGAGTTGCAGAGTTGCAGTTTAGTAATCCCTATAACACTCTAAGCAACAACATGCTGATACTCTCAGATCAGATCCTCACCCCTATCTGTTAAATGCTTACAAAAATAGTTTAATCTTCCTAGTTCTGAAAATGTAATTCTTTATTCAATTTGAGTCAATTTACCAACCAGATCTCCTTAAATGGTTCCAAAAAGAACATCATACCTCTGGAAATTTCTGAAATTTTGTTAATTAAACATAGTGCAACATTTTAACTAAAGTGGAAGAAAAATAGCATAGTTGCATGATTTATGAATAGAAATCTGTTGTGTGATGAGCATTTATACCATCCCACCCAAATATTGTCAGTTAATTGCAAACACCTTTGTGATTTAAATTCATCTGTTCTTTGAAGGCCTCAAATGTGTATTAGAGGACATTAGTGAAGAAACAGCTTTGTGAAACTCAAGGAAAGCAGCAGATATGTCAGGGAGAAAGTATTTATCATGTTATCAAGCATTCCAAACTTTGAACAGATCTGAAAATGGATTATATACAGCATACAGCAAGGCAAGGATAACACTCTAATCTGCAGTCGCCAAGAGGTCATTTCTAACCCTGCTTTTATCTCCAGTTCAGATTGAAGTACTTTGTGGAAATGTTGCTGTTTGGCAACAGTATTTTAGAAAATACAGCAAATATGTGGAAGAAGACTCTCTTCTTCCACATATTTGCTGTATTCTCTCTGTTGTACTCTCTCTGTTCAGATATAATTCCTGCATGTAAAATGCTATGTTCATGTCAAACATCCTGAACTTAGCTATGGCATTGTAAGACACAGAGACGGCTGAAATAATCAAACTGGGAATCTGTGGCAGGACTTGAGTTATTTTTCAAAGATTGGGCCGAGACATATGGAGAAGTGAAATGAAATCTACTTTAGATAAACCCTCACACTGTTGACTCAGCAGGTTTGAATTCAGATACATGACTTGTTTTTACAAATATCCTATTCGTAAAAACATTAAAACTATATTTTTCTTTCACTTTATAATCATGTGTTAATTTGATTATGCTATCATGCACATTCCCCATTTGATAAACACTGGAGTTTGTGCTTGTAAATCAGCAATTTGAGAGAAAAGATTTTCAAGGCTTTTTTTTTTTTTCATTTTCCAGGGGCGTAGAGAGAGACAATTTGTTCCTTTTAAAAAAAGGCCACCTTCACCATAATGGTTATCAACCTGTTTCTTTCTTCTGCTTGATTGGCTGATGTCAAACCTGCTTTTTTAGACTTAAACTGATGCAAACATATTTATTTAGATCCCATCTTCTCCCCTCATTGCAGGTTTAGGAGACTTGTTTCACAGATGGAGCCTGAGGTCCACGAAGTCCCCCGGCTGTTCCGCACAGTGCTACGAGACTGTGTGGATGAAGTCAACGGAAACGACGAGGTCCAGGCCCAAAGCACGTTTTACGAGAAGCACCAACGCAGCAAGAGCCTCTCCTTTGTTACCTTCCGCACAAAGTTTCGCACTGGGCAAATGTTCAAGGGGAGCGGCTTGAGGGGCTCCAGGGGGAACCTGCAGCAGCAGGTCGACTGGTCTGATGAGGAGGAGGATGGGGAGGGTGAGGAGGAGGCCATCAGGGACAGAGCAAGGAAGGGGAGGAGCAAGAGCATGCCAGAGATCACCCCTCTGGAGCAGAGCGCTCAGGGGTGAGAAGAGGCCCTGGGGTGATGGAGGGAAGCAGGACTCTTGGTGGAACAGGGAGGAAGGAAGGAAAAATGGGTAAATGATGGATATGAATAAAGACTAAATAGGCAAGGTTTACATCAGGGGAACATTCACCTTTTTCAACATCTCACTATAATGCAGATATGAGATGTAATAAAAAGGGACTAAAAAAATCTGTTTCCTTCCAGTTAACTTGAGGCAACCAGGAGCATTATTGTTCTGATTTTAGTCAGTTTAAGGTATAACATTATGCTGATGGTAAATTATCAACCAATCTGAAACCATGCAGCAGATATCTGAGGCAGAGAAACCAAGGCTAGTGTCTCACAGACAGGTTTCAACTCTGATATTTAACAGAAAAACGTTTCTTTACTATTCCCTCAAATTTCTTCATTAAAATGGCCTATCAACATTTGTTTTAGTAATTTCTAGAAAGGAAACTGTCACCATGTTGCACATTGAACTATAATGCATGTTGTGTTGGGTGGACAGCTTTAATACTGCACAATGTATACACTATATGATGAACTGTCCCTTTAAATCACGTTATGTATCAGGGAGAGGTGACTGTCCTGAGCTGAAGGAGGACATTAGGCTCAGGCTGCTTTCCTGCTAACTCAGCAGATCCTATCAGTTAGTGACTACTTGGTCAACAAAGATCCTGCAAGTGGAAATCAATCATTATTTTGTATTACTGTAAATATGCGCTCATATATTTTGAGAAATAGACAAGAAATGTTGTGATATTTTCTGTCATTAAACATGTTTTCTCTATATTATTGCTGTTTTGCTTTAAATATTAATATTTTTCAAAACATGTGCCTGAATTGAGAAGGAGTTTCAGTCTGCGGTAAGAAAACATAATTAGTTTAATAATATTCTTGGATTCGAAAGCTCTGATATAAATAAAATAAAGACCAAACTCTAAGAAATAGGGTTAACAGCTTAAAAAGATTCATGAATGAGGGGGAAAAAATGCTTTGCTTGATATAGACTTGCATGATGCATAACATATCTGCACTGAAGTGTAAACTTATATAAAACAAAAGCTTCACAAAAAAGGGCTTTGCTACTTTACAAAAAAGTTTGATTTTAAGAGTCACTGAAAATAAGAAATAATTTTCACTGCATGAGACCAACATCCTGCCAATCCAACATCACTGTGAAAAGTTCCTTAAAAGTCCAGTGGAGCAACAATAAAACATTATTCTCCTTCCACCAAACTTTACACTTGAACAAATGAGTAGTTTCATTACTAGAAGATGGTTTCTGCATACGGTCCATTGCAGCTGACACTTTGCTAATGATGATGCAGATGATGGGCTGCAGACCTCCATAGTTTCGAGGTCCTGCAGCTGTTAACTCTGCAAGAAGTGGGTTGCTTTTGCACATTGTGCACCCTAGTATTCACTGTTTCCCAGGGGTGGACTGGGGGAAAATTCAAGCTGGGATTGTTTTTAATCACTCAACCCAATTAACGCGAACCAGTTGAAATCAAGAGCATCATAAAGCAACCAATGGGCAAAGGAAATCATTGCCTCTCTATGTCCGGGAGCCCAGGACATATCTATCGATGACTTATTCTATACTGTATATATTTACCACTTAAAAGTGGTGTGTTACGCTGGACATAGTAGCTAAGGTAGATCCTAAAGTACCAAGTTTGTGTTGGAGAAAATGTTTTTGTTTTGGTCATGCCCCAAGTTTCAAAACTTTTGGTTATGATGTGTACAAGGCTATAAACCAGATCTTTCAGGAGGTTATCCCCAAGGATGTAATGGTTGCAATACTCTGTATTCTTCCAGTTGGACTGCAAGGATGAGCCAAACCATATCTCTAAATGTTCTTCTTACAGCGGCCCTAAAATGCATCACAATTAAGTGGAAGCAACCAGAACCGCCTTCCTACAACTCATGGGTCCAAATTGTGAGGGAATTATACCGAATGAAAATAACATACTTGTTAAGACTTCAAAAAGACACTTTCAGCCAATGCTTAAGATTTACTCAGGTAAGCAAGTCTTATAACTTAATGTTAATTTTTTTTCTTTTCTGGAAAATGTTACATAGACCTACCATCCAAGGTTAATTCTGGTGCTAGGCTTGTTTGGTGAAGCTGAGACCGCAAATATGATGCTGAAACTATAAAATGTCATGCTGGGATGGTTAATCTATAGTACAATCTCACACTGTAGAAACTGTTACTTGTCATTGTATGCTGTGTAATTTCTCTGTTTTAAAATAAAAACATTAAAGTTCTAAAAAATAAAAAAAATCTTTGTGCAGCTAAAGATGCCTTACTTTGATCTACCTGGATTTGGTCAACCTTGGGATTATTTTGTAAATTTTATTTGGAGTTATTGTGGCAGACATTTGTATTGGTCATGCATGTTCAATGTGGGAAGCTGCATGTAACTGCCAAATAATGGATGATTCAACATATTATGGGAACGCTGGTAACCCTAAATGCTCTCTCCTCTATATTGATTACTTTGGTTATTTCATCTCAACGTAGATGTTAATATTTTTAAGAGAATATTTAGTTATAAGACCCAGGTTTAAATCCCAATATGATCAAGAAGGGTCTGACCCCCCCAGTAATACAGTGAAGGCTGACTAAAGAATATTTAATTGATAACATTTACAGCAACACGCTAGGATTCACTGACCACACAAGAAGGCCCAACTGCCAAACAGTGTTTAATTTTACTTCATTTTATAAGATTGTGGCCAAAAGGTAGAAATGTGGTTGAATCAGTGGTTCCACAAAGGGAGGTTTTTTGTTTTTAATGAAAGACCCTTAAATAATCAGTGCAATCTGAAAGCTACCTATCATAAGCTCTGTCTACAAACCTAAAAGACAACTGATAAACTCCAAAGAAAAATTATTAAAACATAGAAACTAAAGGTAAACTTCATCACTATTTTTGCTATGAGCCAGCAACACTTTTATTAATGTAGTCCAATAAAGAAACATCTGTTCCAGGATCCCATTTTGTTTTATTATTGTGCACTTTCTCATCAATATATCATTAGAACTATTTGCACATTTTACAATAAAGTCAAGGCATTTGGCTAAAAAAAAAAAAAAACTGGGTGGGAAATAGGAACCATGTCTTCTTTTTTCTTAAAAAGAGACAGTCATTTAAATAACATCCTGTACATTAAAGAGGAAAGGAGGCAAACAACCAGATACTTCCAGGGAATCTGGCAGCTTGATTCACTTCATTAGCAGAGAAACCCCTTCATTAGCACTGATCCTTTCTGGGGTACCGTAAGAATGATTCTCAGTCCCTTTAATAGCTTGAAAATGCCTGAGAGCTGGCAGACATTTCCAATGAAAACTGTGTTTTAAAGTCATTTTATACTTTGGTGTAAATTATTCTGCAGAATCTAGGTTCACTGACTTCTTTGTATCCTCTCACAGGTTAGAGAGAGTACCCATTTGGCAAATAAACTCTAAAAGCAAAAAAAAAAAAATGTAAATGGATAAACATAATTCAGAGCATAAATGAAGGGTGAATTTAGAAATGAAGAAAATATACTGTAACTCCAAGTAAAACAAAGCAAACCTATATGAGAATAGATTCTGGTTCTATTGTTTGGCTTTGCAATAAAAAATAAAAAATGATAAAGGGGTTATAGAAGGAAGAAAATCTAAATTATAAGACAGTTTGCAGAATAAAACTATTAAATTACAGCCAGTTTGTTTGAATGTTTACAAATAGTTGGTCAGAGTACAATGCAGAGCAGATTTCCCATCTACAAACAGTGGAGATTTTACACCGTTTATTGTTTGATTTGGACAGAGCTCAATCACTTCACTTCTCACCAAAGTTTTAAATCATGAGTTCACAGCTTGGAAATAATAATCAGTAGAGTCCATGTTTGTTTGAATTGATCCCAAGCCACCCTGAAACTGTGACAAAGCAGTCTGTCTTCTCAGTGTGCTGTGTGGACATCTCCAGGTCCAACTTTAGCTTCATGTCTTATGCTTTTCGTCCCTTTTCACCAGTCCTCCTTATCTTTACGCAAAGAAGACAACGAAGACGATGAAGAAAACTACCAGGACCAGAAAGATCTTGATCATCAGCCAGCGATTGGAGGACACCGACTGAAAGTATTTGAGGATTTCTGTGTGAGCAGCCTCCACGTTCAGCTGTGTGTCTTCTACGTTGGCATCGATCCTGTAGAGAGGAGACACAGAGTTAGAAAAATGGCATCCAGGATTTAAAAACAGCAGGAAAACAGCTCAATGGTCTTATATTTAAGCATCCCTTACCTCTGGATGGTCTCTTCTTGTTCTTTCACCATGTGAGCCAGTTGCTGGAATATAGAGCCCAGCTCTACGATGGTGCTTTCAATGTTCTGCATGGTGTCAGCACGGCTCTGGATGTACGAGTCCTGGAAACACATAACCACCAAGACTTTAAAAGAGGGTCTTTACCTAGATGTTTACTTCATTTGGGATTTCTATATGAACTGCAGGCTAATTGGACTTTAGTTGTTAGCCTAAATATCTGGGTTTCCTGAACAATATCTGTGTCTTTCACCCTTTAAAAGAACCTTACAGTAATAGAGATTGTTTCACCTGCTGCAACTCCCTGTCTGTCTGTCATAAAAACTATTTTCCAAACTTCAGCTGATGAATTAAAGCAAAATGATCTGAAAATGGAAGGCATATCAGAGATTATTTGTCCAAAAACATGAGTTTGTTTTCGTGCAAAATGTGAAACCTCTCCCTTTTATAATTTATCACCAAATCGTATCAAAACATGCAAATAGCTTCGCTCACCAGAATATCCCCATTGTGGGACAATGAAGGGATTTTTCTGTTCTATAACATCCCAACTGTAACTGTCTGAATCATATAAATGTCTTTTATATCTGAGGACTCTCCCCCTGAGATTTCAGTTGCTCTCTATTTAAAAGGAGAGATACAGACGTAGGTAAAATTGGACTAAACTATCTGTGGCTATGGCCTCAAAGGAATACCAGACAGTGTCCCTGTAAACAAAACAAATTTTTCCTAGCTCACATGGCTGTCAGGAAAAGAATTAATGACATTGGAGAACCCCGAGTGCAAATCCAAATGCAAAAAAAAACAACAAAAAATTATTTTTTGCCTTCAGCTGTACAGGTGTGACAAACGGCAGGCTGGTACCTGTTCATCAATAAGCTGAAGCTGCAAAGGATTGCTCTGCGAGTCCATATCGATGGCCACATCCCCCATGCTCCGGGACTCGTCCTGCATTAGGACCGAGCTCTCTGAAAGAAAAAAAACAAGCTGGATGAACAAGATTTGACAGAAACTTGTGAATGTTGCAGCTGTAAAAGCGGAATGCACAGCGGGCACATACAGGAGCTGCTCATACCCGCTGTGACAGGCCAGCGTTCCACGGAGGGAGTACCTTTTAAATTTGAGGTTGTATAGCCCTGGTAGTCATAGCGCTGCTCGCGAGCTGCATGCGGCTCCTGGGCCCCTTTTTTGCGGCTCCCTAAAATATTTTTTAATCTTTGCATTACAGAGGACCAGATACAGTGATAATCATTCACAAAGACTTGGGGTAGCTCACTACTGTAACAGCTATGCTATCAAAATAAACTGGAGCAGCATGTTCAGTGTGGATATGCAGGAACCATTTGCTCCTGTAATCAGTAAATATGTCAAGAACTAACAAACCTCCACAGTACATGATTAAAATCTAGTTATCAGGGTAACTGTGTTGATCTGAAAACCTGCAGATCCTGTGCTTCCGGTTTCAATAAAATACA